CATATATATATATATATATATAGATATATATACTACATCATGCCATCAGAGCTTTTGAGGGTAAGTAATAGAGGAGCCGGTGGTCGTGACAAAGCACTCGACAGGCCCAAAAGGCACCCCCTAATTTCGGGTCGACCTTGGCCTGTTTAGAATTCCCCCATTGCTGCTGGTGACGGCGACACGCGTCTGGAGCCGGGTCGACTCAAGGAGCAGAAGGTGTGTGCGTGTGCGCACGTATGTGTGTGTGTGTGTGTGTGTGTGTGCGTGCAGATGGACGGACCGTTAGGGATGCAGTCTTATATTCCCAAGAGAGGAGGCAGAGGTCAGGGCTCAAAAGGCCCAACTGACTCCTCCCCACCCCGCTCAGTGTCTGGGGACTTTGCAGGGATCCAGAATGAAGCGCTCCTCCGGCCAGCCGCATAATGCGGTTTGTGCAAATGAAGCGATGGCAGGCGTGTTTGTGTGTATGTTTGCATGGGAGGGGGTGTTGTGTGGGTGTGCGCGTCTCTTCTGCCAGGCCGTTTGCACACTGTAGCGGTGCAGCTGGCACGTGCCACACACACACACACACACACCCCCAGCAGAGTCTAGAGAGGTCTTTTAATTAAGGGATTTGTTAATTTTCCATTCAACTTGACAGTGATGAATGGGGGAGCCGGGTCTGCCCATCTCGGCCTCGGCTGTTGGGCAGACCGAGCTTCCTAGGAGGCCTCGGGGTGCAATCGTCACAGTCGGAGAACCAAATTCACCCGTGAAGATTCTTTTTAACCCTTCGAAGGCCAAAGCTTAAGACTCACAAAAACAAAAGCCTAATAGATGTGATTCATACTCGGTAGCAGCCTGTGTGGAGGCCAGATAGGACTGTGGAGTAAACAGAGGGAAACAATGGCCACACATTGTGTGAACAAAGCTGCTATTTGGCTCCACAGGAAGTAACTCTCCAGAATCCTTCTGGTTATCTTAGCGAGGTTATTGTGCACTCTTTTTAAGTGCTTTAAACGCCTAAAATGTACTTTAAATCTTTTAGAGCTCCTTGCTTCCCAGCAAGGAGTAACTGCACTTGAACTTCAAATACCAATCAGTGTGTGACTTTCCTAATGTACACAAATGACCTTTAAAACACCGCAGCACATTCTGAATGATGTAGGACCGAGAACTGAGCAAATTGTTCACGTGAAAACACTAGTTTCCAGTTTTTCTTTTTCTCAATTTCCACAAATAGAATAAAAAGATAAAAATGAAGCATGCGTTTGTTTGTGTCTAAATGTTTTCTGACTTCCTGTCTGTTGCACTCTCAAATTCCCAAAACCAAGTGGCATCTACCAAAGATCTTAAAAGAACACACAGATACACAAACACCTAGAAAACATTACTCAAACAGAAGTAAACAACGGCCACATTCATGGTTGGTTTCAGTCTTTTCATGGGATTTGCTCTGTAAGAAAAATGAGTAGAATTTCTAACAGGAACTGATAGTGAAATATACACATAGCTCACACTACTGCGATGCATCACGACACGTTCAGGTGCATTAAATTAACTCTGGATTTTCTTTAGTTTCCATTATTACCTTTGTGATTTACTGTTAACTAAAACTGCACTGAAACAGCACTTCCGGTTTATTCTTTTTTTGTCTGTTTAACAGCTCTGTTGTGTTTTAAAATCCATTTTTATGTTGCTTTGTGTCATACAATGTTTCATACAAATAAAGTTGCTGTGACTCCCTTTTTTGTGAGAAGAGAAGCTGCTGCTTTTTATCAAGTCACAGGACTTTAAATAAATAAGTAGATGTATTTTCATTTGCATTATCAATACTTTCTTTGTGTCTGCCGAGCACATTTTGCATTACGGGTCATATAGGCAGTCTGAAGCCGCGGAGCCACATGTCATATTGGCCCCAATGCAATTTATCTATTGTGATTTGGCAGCCATTCATCTTTTAAATGCTCTCTCATGATTTCCTTTGTGCATACAGAGCCGGGGGTGACCTTGGAAATAGACCATGTGGCGTTTCTGGTGATAATATATTCTCAAGTATAAGATGTCTGTCTCAATAACATGATTTTTCTTCACGCTTTGTGTCGTCTCCACTCGCCGGAAACTTTTATAGCGGTGGCCGAGTATTCTCTTTTCAAAGAGTCCTTTTCAGGGTTCACAGGGTCGTGCAAGTTTTAGATTTTAACAGGATTGAACATCGGATTTAGTAATTTAGCAAACACCAAATCCAGGCCTTTTACTTTTACCGCATTTAAACTGATTGAGGATGTACACAAACCTGAAAACATGCTTATAAAGATGAAAACAACAACATTTAATCCAGAGGTAGGAAGATAAAACTATGGGTTTGTTTTAATATACATTTTCCTGTAACATCATTTCTAGAGACTCTGTCTCAGATTCTGAAGGACTGTTTTTGTTATATTTCATCAATGACGCACGCTCCCCCCCCACAGTGGTGGCAAACTGCATCTCAGCTCCAATTTTCAAACATAACAGATGCAAATGACTTTTGTCTCCACTGTGACTGCCCTTAATATTTCACTTGAGGGTCTGATAAAAATAGTAACGCCGTCTTCGGCTCAGCAGTTAGTGTCAGTTATCAAGCTCTCTTCATGGGAGGCCGTTTTACTGAGCTTTAACTGATGCACACACATGCACACAGACGCGTGGCACACTCCGTTTTAATGCATATTAATGAAGTTAAACGGGCTGCTGTAGGGAGGAGACAATGGAGCAGAGGAGGGCTGGTTGTGAGCACAAAGCCGTGGGCTCGGGGGAAGCAGGACAGGTGCAGGGAGGACGGGGCAGCTTCACGTGGAAGGTTTAGATGTGTCCTCTTCACTAAAGATCCATCAGGGCAGGAAGGGACCTGCTGACGCGTTCAAAGGCACACCGCTTTGTTTGGTTATATTTCTCGGACGCAAAGCAAACAACATAATTTTTGTTGATTATCTCGAATGGTCGTTTCTTTAGATTTTTGTTTAGTGATTTGTTTTTTATGCCGGACTACTGACTTTTAGTATTTTTTCTTTCTGTATAATACATTTCCTGTCCATGTAGACTCCCTTTCTTACACAAGCGGGGGGGAATTAAACACACAGGATCATGTGAACCTATAAGACTCATTATAATCTAGCGTGTGGGGCCGTGGCTGCGGAGTCTGGGGCCCATAACAAAGTCAATGCGACTCGAAGTTGCAATGTCTTTTATCCGCGTTGAGAAGTTACCCGGAGATGACCTGCAATGGCTTCACACAGATCAGTTCTCTGGTGGTTAGTGCTGCATCAGTGGCCTTAAAGGTTTTGTGCATTCTGAGAAAATAGCCTCGTGATTTAATGAAGGTTTTCTGAGCTTAGGCTGAACCAATATGCACGGCCCTAAACCACATGTTTAGGGTGAGAGGCTATGAGAAAAATGTAGCATCCAGCGTTTTTGGAGTTGAGACTTTATTATAAACAAACAGTCTAGGTGTCTTTTCCTCTGCTGCATCGATTTGGACATTTCAGAAAGTCATTGATTACGCACAATAAGCAGTTTAAATAAACTTCAGCTAGAAGCAAACAAAATGTACCGGCATCTACTTATAAACCTGTGGTGTGAAAACAGCACCAACCTTTACCAAGTATCCAAGACATGTCTCCTGCCTTGAATGTGATGACACTAAAAAAAACAGAACACGCGGGGGGGGAAAACTGTCATAAAAGAGAATGCAGCTTACAAATCAGTTCATCCCCAACAGGAGGGCTGATTCTCTCGCGGCACAAAGAGATGCTCCATAGTGATAACAGGCACATCTCTCCTCCCCTGCTCTGTGGACCCTATGGCGACGGAGAGGTAATCAACTTGAACCAAGCCACGCCCCCCTGGTTTCATCCTGGAGGGCGTTTATCAGCGCCTACATGTTGACTGCTCTGCACACGAGACCGAGCGAGAGCAGAGAACAGACCCCCTCCCCACCCTCCGCCAGACCACTCATGCTGACGGACACACCGCCCGAAAAAGCCTCCTCACCTCTGCGGACGTCGGACTGTGCGGCTGTGACAGGATGGACCTTCTAGACAGCGGCTACCTGGACGCGCGCTCGCCCTACGACAACACTTTCAATTTCTGGAACGACTACCTCGGGCTGTCGACACTGGTCGCCAAAAACAAGATCAACAGCGCGTCCTGCGGACCCAACTCCATCACGGAGTCCCTGAAAGCGACGCTGGGCTTGGAGGACGACTCGCCGGTGTGCTCCTGCGTAATCGGGCACGGCGACGCACACCTGGACTGCTGCTGCGCGGCCCCGGGCTCCCCGCCGATCTCCATCTACGACCTGAGGGAGCGCATCGCGCTGCTGAGGCCCTACGAGCACCTGGCCGGCGACTCGCCGCCGGGAGGCAGAGACTCGCCCCCTTACAGGGGCAGCTTCGCCGGCCTCGACCTGCTCTCCGCGGACCGGAGGCGCAAACTGACCCAGAGGGGCAAGCCGGAGCCGAAGGTGTGCGTCTTCTGTCGGAATAACGGCGCGCCGGAGGAGGTTTACGGCACCCACATCCTGAAGACGGCGGACGGCAGGGTGCTGTGCCCCATCCTGCGCGCGTACACCTGCCCGCTGTGCAGCGCCAACGGCGACAACGCGCACACCATCAAGTACTGCCCGCTGTCCAGAGAGCAGCCGGGCCAGAGAGCGGCGAAGGGCGGCCGCGCGACGGGCAAACGGATGAAAGTCTTCTGAGGCAGAAGAGGCGAAGGGAGTTTGAGTTGCACTGTAAATGACTTGTGTGTATGGCCGTGATTTTGCCCCCACGACCCGCTCTCCATGGCATGCACTAGAAAAGTCTGGTGCAAAAGATGTTCCTCTATTTTCTTGGTCGCCGCTTCATTTGTAATGTTTTTCTCTCTTTGGGCACATAGTTTACTTGGATGCATTGCGCGCGCCCCCCCCATCCAGCACTCTTAAAGACTTGGTGAAAATGAACCAAAGTACTGTACAGATCGACCTGTGAATGACCACCTTCATGCTGCGATCAGAAGCACAGTGCGCGTGCATGTCCGCGCGCTGCTCTGGGTTTATTATGATGAGATGCCAACATGAATATGCAGCACTCCTGATATGAGATATGAATGTCAAGTCCCCTTTGTCGGCCGTTCAAGATGTACTTCTTTATATCGAGCACACTTTTTTTCTTCCTGCAGATAAATGTTTTCTACCAAAGGAATACACTTTTGTATTGAAACCTAAAGGGTCACGTCTGTATATTGTTTATATGTTGTATCACGTCTTATATTCATGATGTGATTTCATGTGGATAGTTTTTTGCAAATTACACCTGAATGTAAAAGGAAGATCTCTCTTCAAGTAGCTCCAAGCTCTATTATTTCAGTTCCCTGTTCAAAAACAAAGATGCTGAATAGATTTTTTTTTCAAGTGGAATTGTATTTCTGCAACTCTTGTAAATGTAATTGAGGGGTGAAACATTTTAGCAATGCAAAGCCTGACATTCCAAAGTCTCTATCTGTTAATAGAAAGGTTTTATGTACTTTTATTTTTACTTTATGTATATTCGCTGTAAATGACTCTGAATAAACGTGTAATTTGCATTTTTCTTGACCGTGACTATTTGGTGCAAGTGATTTTAAGACACAACAAATACCACACGTCACCATGAGGGCTGCAGATACTGTGACTGAATGTTATTTTGAATTGAAATGATTTGGTCTCATAACCTAAGAAATCATTTCCTCAGATACAATGCAAATACGCCATCTAGTGTTACAAACCCTGCATGACAGTAACCTTTATTAAAACATCGCCACCGGGCTGTAAGCACTGGGTTAATAGATAAAGATGACATAGCGAGTCAATGAATAAAGATACTTCACACATGATACTGACAACTTGTGATCAAATATAACGCACATCGTACCTGCTGCATCAACAATCATGTCACGAACTACTGCTTTACCTCACAGTATCTTCCTCTACAAAAGCCTTCGTTTGGACATTGAAGTCACGTTTTGCAATCCAAAAGAACTCTACGCCTAAATCTGCCGTTTCTGAAGAGTCTCACAACCGTCCCACGGCTGAAATGTTCCCGTACAAGAGGATCAGCTGGATGTCTCTTTTTGGACACCGAGGATGATTAAAAAAGGAAACCTCTGACCGTTCGCTGTGTCAGCAGACAGATTCCTCCTCGGCGGTGTCTACCACACATCAGTGAACGATCTGGATGGATCAGGCCGATGGGACTAAAGATCCTCTGGGAAACAATAGCAAAACATAGAGCATCGTCAGTGAATATCTGTTGGCTAAAGGACATTCAGACCAATAGGAAGGAACATAAGAGAATAGTCGTCTGTTTAATGTTCAGTGAAGACGAGGCCTTGATGCTTGTGTGTGAGAATATTCCACCAGTGTTCCTATGATTCACATGAAGCAGTGGGCATCAACCACATCAATCTATTTAATTACCAAGCAATCTGCGTGCTAATAAATAGTTTCCTACAACATTAAAACCTTTAAGTGCCTTGCTGTTAGGGTACATAACCGCTACGTATTGATCGTCTCTGGATGGGTTGTGGAAAATACTTTGTTTCCAGTCGTACTCACATGGTTTGCTACAGTATTTGTGTTTATTCTTCAAAAAGGTGCCTCTTAACCGCCATTCAGGGAATAAAGTGGAGTAAAAGGTGCCTCGAGAAATGCAGACTTATGAGAGTACGTGATTGAAATGCAGTTTTAGGGTAAAAAGGAAAACCTGCACTACCACATGATTTCTGCCCACTGAAGCTGAGAGTGACTCTGAAAACCAACTCCTCTCCTCACTGCAGCAGGCAGCTATTGGCCTGGTGGATGCTGACAGCACTGATGCTAATATGTGGTGGAGAGGGAAGGAGGGGGCGGGGGGGGCCTCACTATAAAAGCCGGGGATCTGCAGCATCACCGAGCTGGTGCAGTGCAAAACGCCCGCTCATCCTCACCGATGGTGTGCAGAACAAGGGGGACATAAAAAAAAAAAAAAACTTCTGAAACCTAAAAACATCCACATCCTTTTCTTAAACAAACGAACGAAAAAAAAAACACAACAAAAAATTCACCATGAACTACGATTCCTTCTTCTCTTCCAGCCGCCCTTGGGACATCTACAGAGGCTCCCAATCCACCACCAGATCCACCATGTCCTCCTCCCTCTACTCTACTCCTCGAGCTCCTCCGTCTGGGAAGAGGATCCCCAGGCTGTTCTCCTCCACTCTGCCCGACGGGGCTGAGCGGATGGACCTGGCTCAGGCCAGCTCCCTCAACGCGGAGCTGATGGGCCAGCGCTCCCAGGAGAAGGAGCAGCTGGTGGGCCTGAACGACCGCTTCGCCACCTACATCGACAAGGTGAGGCACCTGGAGCTGCAGAACCGAGCCCTCCTGGCCGATCTGGAGGCGCTGAGGAGGCGGCAGAACGACCCGTCCCGTCTGCAGACGCTTTACGAGGGCCAGGCCCGCAGCTTGAGGGCCATGATAGACTCGGAGAGCGGGGAGAAAATGCGGATGGAGGCGGAGAGAGACTACCTGCGCGATGTGTACGAGCAGATGAAGGAGCGCTTCGAGGAGGAAGCGAGCCGGCGCGTGGATGCCGAGGAGACCCTGCGGAGATCCAGGGAGGAGGCCGACAGGGCCGTGCTCTCCAACTGCGACGCAGAGGCCGCCGTGGTCTCTCTCTGCGACGAGATGGCGTTCCTGAAGAAAGTCTTTGCGGAGGAGCAGGAGGAGCTGCAGGCCCAGCTGCAGGTGGCCAACATCAGCGTGGATGTGGAGGTGCCCCGGCCCGACCTCTCCGCCGCCCTGCGCGACATCCGGGCACAGTACGAGCGGCTGGCCAACAAGAACATGCAGGCCGCCGAGGACTGGTACAAGGGCAAGTTCGCGAGCGTGGCGGAGATGGCGAGCAAAAACAACGAGGCCGTGCACGCCATCCGGGAGGAGACCATGGAGTACCGGCGGCTGCTTCAGTCCCGCTCCTCCGAGATCGAATCCCTCCGGAACTTCATCGCCTCGCTAAATAAGCAGCTGGAGGATCTGGAGGACACGCAGACCAAAGATGTGGCAAAGTACCAGGTGATTGAGGGTGGACTGGATTCTGACCTGCATAAATATTCACCCGATAGGGGATCGTGAACCAGCATTTTGTACCGCGTCTGGTTACCCGCCCGTTGATATGTCTTGAGTAGTGCTTTCATAGCAGGGGCCATCGTCTCCTCCAGCAGAGAGAGCAAGGAGTAAAGGGTCTCAGCCTCAAGGTTGGACGTGAAGTATAGAAACAAAAGGCAAGAATCTTGTGTTTTTAATTCTCTGCAGCAGCTACACCCTCCACAAGCTTGGAGCTCAGCAGGCAATGACGGAAGGCTCACAGCAAAGTCACGGTCCCGGAGCAACTGTGAAAGCACGTCGCAGACAATCTCCTGAAGTTAAAAGAAATCCTGGTTTATAGCATCACTAACACGGATGTTTGATGAAGAATATCTGTCTTTTTTTTTTTTTTTACAGATGAGGATAAGTGAGCTGGAGCGGGATATCACCGACGCAAAGCAGGAGATGGCGCGCTACCTGAGGGAGTACCAGGACCTTCTCAACGTAAAGATGGCCCTTGACATTGAGATAGCTGCGTACAGGTGAGATTTGTTTGTTTGTCTCCACCCACTAATGTCATTTATTTGCTGTTACTCAAACGGGAATACTTTTATGACACAGTTGGCTCAATATTAATCCGTTTTATTTACAGGAAACTTCTGGAGGGGGAAGAGATTCGTCTGGCTTGCCCTTCTTTTCCCGCCCTGAATTAAAACCTAAATGCCACCCGCCTGGCATCAACCTGAATTCTTCACACACCCTCTTTCCTGCCCTGAAACCCCCGTCCCGCTCATTTATTTGACATTCTCCCCCAAATACTAGTCTCGATCCTATCCTCCTCCCCAAAACCCAACCGCGAACAAAAGCTCATCCTTTCTCAAGACAGATGCGCCCTTGTGCGAAACAAGAGGTCCACCAGAAGTCCCCCTTCTTCTACACACGTTCTGACACCGCACATCAGGAAGAAGACAAACTGTAAGACGCAGAGTGGCTGCACTGCATCAGTTAGACAGCAAAGTCGGACTGCTGTATCGTTTTGGCGGCGCTCCTCTCGGTCACACGCGTTAAGGTCCAAGCAGCAGAGTTTATATTTCCTCTGAACCCTCGTTGTGCAAACATTTGACCAATTGTTTGTGAAGGAGGACAAATCTCCCTTTTATCTCTCCATGCTTGGACTTTATCTGTGTTTGAACTGATGCAACCCTGCAACATTATTGATGAGGAACTCTCCCAATCGATCATGCATTGTCCTGCATCCCTGGTTCTCTAGTAGTCAGTGAACCAGTGACCTTAAAATTTACTTTCACAATATTAAAGCCGCATTTTTGTTTATTTAGTTATTCTTCCTCTGCAAATACTACACGTGTTGGTTGGTTTAAAAACTAGAGTGAGTTTAGGTATTTCTATTTGGCCGGTTATTTAAATTTCTAACTCCTAATGAAACAGCGTTGATTGATTTGGGCAAGTAAATGCTTTGGAAGACTAAATTGTTACTGGTTTCTCCTCATAGTCGTGCAGTGTGTCTCACAGCTTATCTGCATTCGATTTCTTTTCTGTGAGTTCATTCAAAGCTAAACAGTGAAACTGAAAGATAAGTGCGGGAGCTCCTTGTTGTATGTCTGCTGATGTTCGATGGAAATGGTGCTTTACATCCATGAAACTAATATAAAGGCTGCACTGTTCGCTCGGTGTACCTGTAACCGTGGGCAACAAGCTGAATAAACATATAACTGACCTGCAAATCGTTCACGTCTCCTGTTTTCATTTGACACTTACAACGGTTCACGCTGCTGAAATTTCTCCTTACTTGAAGATCTCAATGTCACAATGGACGACACGGCGGCAGGGCACCGTTTCCCATCATTCCACGCTGCTGGCACGCTGACTGCAGCTGTAATGTGTTGGTACCTCGCCTCAGCATCATCGATCACCGAGATGACACCCGCTGCACCCTGAAGAAAACAAGCATAGGAGGCATTTTTCACATTTACTCAAAAGGTGTGAGAGGTAACACTAATGCGCTAAGTGTCGGATCACTGTCTCGTTTTAAGAGATGTCCCCTTTGATGAGAACATCAAATATTATAGTCTGTTATTCTTAGCACAAGTTCTCGGCTCAGGTCACTTTATTTTTACTCGTAGAAAGAGGCATCAATCTTATACAAAACCACACTATTAACAATCATTTATAATCAAGGAAAGAATATCCCATAATACATAAAAGATGTGATGACTAATGGAACAAAGCTCTTTTTACACCGCTATGTGTGAAACCTCGAGAATAGAGACCTGCGTTCAGGTGGAAGCTGAATATCGTCCTACTGGACAATTTAACAATGTCATTCTGTGCTTTGAAGGTTACTATTAACGTTAAAAATAAGACTTTTTATTGTCTGATTGCTCCACATTTACGAACGTCAACGGCAGAGCTATTTACACTAATTAAGCAATAATTGTAACGTTAATGAAGTAACTAAATATAATGCCATTCACTCTGTTGCAACGGTTATTTAAGTAAAGTATGTGCCACCGTTGTGTTTGACAAAGTTACTTAAGTTATTTATAACACTGCTGACCAATTGTGAAGCTAGCTAACTAAAAGTTAACTTTTACTAAACGTTAACTATCCAACGTTAGCTTCGTAGCTAGCTAACGTTAGCTGGCATTATTAGCACTAACATTAAAACACCGGAGTAAGAGTGCCATTAAGTATGAAAAGTATTTTACTACGTTCACAAGGAACACATAATGATTTGTATGCACAGTCTGTGACATGTTATTTTATGTTACAGCGTTGTTTACGACCTACAGATGGCGGTAGAGGCTAACGAGCTCCTTAGCTGAACTAGCTAGCTAAGCTAGGATGCTAATTACTTCCTCCGGTCAGAGGACACCAACATGGCCGCCGCCTTCCGTCGATAACATTTCTGTCTCAATGTTAACTCTCACGTACTTTCCACTAACCGCCGTTACGCGTTGAGCCGCACAGCGCTGCCCCCCCCCCACCTGCAGCCACGTTTTGACGCCGTCATGTTCCAGGTAATCGGCGGGAGGGGCGTCCAGGTGACCCGGCTCCTGGCCCCCGGGAGGGCCGTGCTCGTCGAGGCGGTGCGGGGGAGAAAGTCCCGCACCGACACGGTGGCCAAGTCCAAACAGGGGCGCATCAAAGTGCCCCCCCCGGTCGACCCGACGGAGATGGTGGTCCTGAAGGAGAGGTACGCGGAGTACGAGATGATCACCAGGGCGCTGCGGTGAGTTAAAACAGCGACGTTAATTGACGGGGCACCTGGTGTTTCGGGCAATTGTGTTTTCCTGCTCAAAGTCGAACAAGTGTTGGGCCCGAAAACTTGGAAGGCCCAATTTCAATTAGCACTGCGTCAAAATGTGTTTTATTTTGATTGAAGCGGTTCAATCTGATAATACGATTAGTCTTCATTGATCCCAGATGGACATTTGTTATTTGCTGCTGCACGTGGAAAGTTAAACATCGAAATAATTGACCATAAATACAAATCAAACAAGACTATCCAAATATTTGAGGATTGTGAACTGAATATTTTAAGTAATTTTACAGTCATTCAGGTTAGGTAATGACAAATCAAAATCAACCTGCGTTCAGTTCAAATAAAAAATCCAACTCGGTATTTCCTTTGAAATCTAATAGATGCATTACTTTGCTCTTATTCTATGTTCCTGTTTTAAAAAGCATGTAGACTGACGCAGTAATTATAATCTGTCTAATAAACAACTGTTTGGTCCAAAAGCAATACCCAAAGGAGATATTAAGTCTGTGACTATTGGTTGTTATCACCATAATTGAAAAACAAATATTCTTTTCAACATTGCTTGATAGTTTCCATCTCAACACTGAAACAGTTTTAAAAGTTTTTTTTTAAAGATTCCTTTTTTAATTGGATTTACTCCGTCAGTCTGGAGTTTAAGGAAGAAGTGCTTCGGAAGAAGTACGAGGAGGAGACGGGCTCCATGGCGGAGGAGAGGTCGAGGCAGGAGGCGGAGGAGCATCGCGCCCTCATGGTCTTCAACGACCAGGAGAACCTCCGCATGCTCCAACAACGGTAAGAAGAAACCCAAAATCACAACACAAAGACGAAAGGAAACTAAATTTTAGATGCAATCCACCGCCATTGGTTTTGTATCTCGTTTCCCTCTCACGCTATTTGAAAAATAAGTATTTTTTTTCTGTTATGTTCCAAAAGTAAGCGGACCCGTTCTTTTTTTTTTTTTTTTTTTTTTAGGGTGGTGAGGATCCAGATGGAAAAGGAGGAGGCTGAGAACAAGCAAGTGGAAGCTGCCATTGAGCGAGAACTGCAGCAGCAAGAATTCATCAAAGAGAAGGAGAGGGAAATCCTCAAGTTACAGGTGGGATTTTTCTCTTCTCTGTGAAGTTAAAATTGGAAATTCTTCTTTTTCATTTTTTGTGTGGAAAAAGTTGGAAAATTCTCCCTCAAAATAAAATAACACCGTATTGATCGTCCAAATGTTCTCTTACAGGAGGATGCAAAGAACTTCATCACTTTGGAGAACTTGGATCAGCGTATAGAGGAAGCGCTCGACAGTCCAAAGAATTACAACTTTGCCGTCGACAAAGAGGGGCGGGTTGTCAAACAGACGATGCTGCAGTGAAGCGGCAGAGCGACCTCTGACCTTTGTGTCCGATGGACATGATCCAGGACTGTGAGCCCAGTTCAGTGTTCATCCACCCGGTTTGCCTCAACTAAACGCAGACAAACCTTCAGCGTGAGATGACCAGTGTACCGGTAAAAAGAAAGAGACATGCGAGATCATTTGTAGTTTTGTTGATGAAAAAACTTCTTTTCACGCCTTTGTCTGTTATATTGTTTTACTTTAGTGCTTTATTGTCAAAGTAAAAACATGTTCTTTTGATCATTGCTGTCGTCTCCTGATATGTAACATGTGTGAGGTAATTTAATGTAGCTTTACCTTCATGTTAAGCTCTTTATTTAGATACAACCACCCTTTTTATAACACATGAGTATGTATGAGGATTCGTTCCTAAACAAAATAAGTGCTTTTAGACTTTTTATATTTGACAAATGTAAAAAGAAACATATGCGAGGAAGAAATATACATAGACAACTTACTGTCACACTTGACGTTCACTAGTTTGTAGTTTGATTAACGACAACTGGAGCACAAAATTAAACGTCTCATTGATTCGTGGTGTGAACTGTCACAGCCCCAAACCTGCAGGAAGGTAACGTAACAGTTTTCTAATCAAATAAGGCTCAGAGATAAAGCGTTGTCATCGTTCCTCTTTATTTGGTGAGATTACATCGACATTCTTGAGGGTAATTGTAGTTTGTTTGTCCGATAACATCTATGATCTGACCCTGAATGGCAATTAATAGCAATAAAAAGACCAGACGGCTTCAAACTGGTTCCAAAGAAAGTTGACTAGCAACTTGACTTTTAGCAATAAATACATCCACAAAATTGTAAATCTAAACCCATTTTTGTGACCGAGAAGGCAGAAAAGTGAACAGTAACAGATGTTAACACCTTTGACCCAGAGTGAATTAAGATAGTGTTTATCGTCTGGCTCTGAGGAAAGGCCGATCCCCAGTATGGAGACCAGTAAGCATTTGTTTGTGTCCCATCTAACCATCTGAGGAACATCTCAACCTGCTGGCTCCAAGTAAAACAAACACCTCATTCATAACTCGGATCAACATTCGTTGTAATAAAAAATATAGCATTAGCTCACATCAAACTGACCAAAAGAAACATTAGCACTTGAATATTCAAGTATCACATAAAAACCTGTTGGCTTCTTCCACGACTCCAGATGATATGTGAGGAAATGCTGTCTGGTACCTGAAAACATTAAAAGTCTGCAGTGTGTTTTCATTTAAGGAATGTGGTTGTTGAGCTGCCCGGGGTACTTCTCAAAGCGCCGCTCTGCCTCCTCGCTGAACGCGTCGCCTGCAGGGGTTCAAAACAAACCAAAGCCGGTCAATGCAAAGGTCTGAATAAAGGACTCAATGTGAACCGGTGGTTCAGAGGGGTTTTTGCACTGGTTACCGATGTGACAGTTGTGGAGCCAGACTCGGTGTCCGTCATATTTGCAGTTGCACTTCATGGCGTTGTTGGTGAAGTCGCTTTCAGACACTTCCTGGTTCGGATTGATGACAATCTGAAGGGGTCAGAAACATGTAAGGAACACAAAGAACAAATAAAACACAACAAATAATCACATGCATAAAATTAAAACACATTTCAGCTACTTGTTCTTTGGAAATGAATTGCTTTGTTTGGCTTCCTCATGAAAGTAACAGGATAGATTAAGTATTTAAGAAGAGTCCTGATTTGTGTCAACAAATATTTCCTCCAATGATTTGTTCCTCTCTAGATACTCAACAAGATTCAACAATACTATACTATATCAACAATACAACGGAAACGTTTCCCCAACAGACCCTTTCCCTCCAAAATCCCCTTCCTTAGGGGGGTTGGAGTTGCCTCCAGAGGGGGTCATTTAAAAAGCTGGTCTCCCAGTCCAAATACTTATGGCCCTGACTGTAGACATATATTCTTTTTTCTTTAGCTCTAGGAAACTGCTGTCTTTGCTTTGTGCTCCACAACCTGGGCTGCGCCTGCTCACCTGCAGTATGTAGTTTCCAGGTCTGACGTCAGTGATGTCGATCCACTGGCAGTCGATGTCGTGTCGGTATAAATCCCAGCAGCCCACGGTGATGCCCTGATCGCCAAAGTTGGCGCACTCGTAACGCTTAGAAACACCTGGAGGGCAAATAGATTCATCCATTTTAAGATGGTTCAGCGAGTCCACAATGAAGTCATCTCTGATTCAAGGATACTTCATTAGGAAAATCACCACCATTCTAAGCTGGCATGAAGTCCATGCATCTTTGCCTTTATTATGACTTGTTTAAATGGACTCTCAAGACTCCCCGAGAGGAAAACCGGCCGCGTGGTTTTGACTCACCCTCGTGACAATCCGAGTCCTCCAGGCAGAAGCTGGCCTTGTGGCCCTCGGCCACGCGAGAGCCGTTGGCGCTCATCAGGTCGTAGTGGGTGAAGATATCCATGCTGTGGTAGTGGCTGTAAAATACAGGGAACAACAATGTCGCGGATGACAAAAGGGAGAAAATTCTTCGTTTGCTTCTTTTTTGAAAACAGACGTCACTCTTATTTCGCTCCACACCATATAAAATAAAAACTGTGCACACTTTAAAAAGAAAAGAGAAGTAACAGTCCAGCGGAGTGAATGTGAAATTAAGATTTTCTTAAGGTGTCCGTTTTAAAGTCTACCGTGTTCCACCTGGCAACATGTCTCAGGGAACACAAGACGAGGGCACTCATAGAGTCGATGACGGACAGCGTTACCCGTGGCAGGCGTGCCAGACCCACGAGTGGCGCCCGGCCTTCGGCTTGAAGTCGGCGCGGCCGATGTTGTGGATCTGGGAGGAGAAGCGCAGCAGGCGCCGGTGTCCGTAGGGCCAGTTGGCCTTGGCGGCGGACTTGGACAGGCAGTCCTCCTCGGCGGCGCAGTAGAGCATGTGCAGGGGCCGGTCCTCGATGTAGACCGTCTGCTGCACCAGAGGGGCGTCCAGGACCAGGTCAGAGGTCGCTGCGGAGAGGGGCAGCAGGAGGACGCTTTGCTCAAGGTTTAATTATATTTATTATTTATTTAAACATCACACAAAACATATAAGAAAGAAATGTCTGAACAAGGAGTTGCACAATAAAACAATCTATTTTCGGCTTCACAAATTTGAGTATTTTTTTGATTCATCCAAAATGAAAGTTCCATCTGAATCAACTGGGATATAATATACAACATTGTAACTATTCATTTTATGAATTGAGTTATTTCTCCTGATTATACTTACAAACCTTTCGTTAAGCAACATTCTCAATGCGGCACTTTTAAATGTCATGAAGTATTTAGTACTTAAGTAATGTGACTAATACAACAAGTAATTTGTTCACCAGAATCACTGAAGTAAGACTACGCTACCGGGCAACGATGTGTTATGTACTCGATCATCTGTGGTTGTAACAAAGCGGCCGCTCACTGTCGGAGCAGATGACTCCCGCGGCGAACTTGACCGCCGCTTTCTGGCAGCTGAGCGCTTTGTGATGCTGGCACTGACTCAGAGACATCTCGCGGCCCGTGCACTTCACGCCGCTCAGTATCATCTCCGTCACGTTGCTGCTGTCCCAGTACCACGTCTCCTTGGGTGGGGTTCAGACAAAAAAAGCATCCATCAGGGGAGGAGCATTCACACACTGCAGAGGAAAACAGATGTTCATGACTCATGTTTGGAACATGAACAATAACGTCTGTCACGTGATTTCATAATGGTTGGACTTACTGGAAGGCCTCTCAATTCTACACCAATACTAATTTAGCTATTGACCGATTAAGATTACTGCAGTTCAATACATTTTCTCAGTACTCGCAGCTTTGGCATTCTTGTCTTCTTTTAAAGTTATGAATCTGTTTCAAATATATATCATATATATATATGTATGTATACATATGTACAGTTTGTGTCATTTATATACTTTATATATAGTTATTTCATACACGAATTTGTGATTTGTTTAAATCTGTATGTTTCTCCTTTTTATTTACTCATTATATGTGAATCTTCTCAACGTACTTAAGACACTGAAAAGCCGGTAAGTATCTACGTCAAAGACTTTGATTGGAATAGTTTACAGGATTATTTAAACTAACTCTATTCCTCCCACATAATGAAGTTCCTCTTGATGTAAATAAATGAGTCTTGATTCATTCATACTCTTGTTTTCCTTTACTATTAATCACGCTTTTTCCCCTGTGTTTTCTCTGTGCACGTTTGCGCTTTAAACAAGACATTTGTTCCACATCTCACGCCATGTCTCCGTTCTGTACTCACAGTCACGGGGTGCATGGAGTAGCCGAGCCCTAGCTGCCTGCACACCACCATGGCTTCCTTTGTGCTCCAGCCTGTGCTGCACACTGTGCCCCACTTGGAGCCAACCTGAACCTCCACCCGGCCCTCATAAGTGGTCCGGCCTCCCGCTATCCGGATCTGTGGACGTGCCCTGCTGGGAGTCAGTGAGGGGGAGACACTTCCTGTCCTGTCTCCTACTCTGATGCGTTTAAGGAGGAGGACGTGTTTTTGGAAGCTTTGTTTGACTTTTATAGGCCTGGAGAGCGTCAGCGTGGTTTCCAGATGACGTCACCACTTGGCTTTAGTTGTTAGTAGCTTTTTCAGTTTGATTAAAAAACTTCATGAGAGTCTTTTTTCGGTCTGCCCATTGAGAAAAGAGTGTCATGATCAAACGAGAAGCTTCTACTCCATATGGAAACTATAATGCACGGCCATTAATAAACGCATGTTTAAGAATATTCCAAAAACGTGGACATCGTGATTTAGCCAATGTTAGTTATGATAGTTATTAGTACGCTGCACGTATTACATAATACGTGACTCAACAGACATCATTTGTTGATTGTAACAAAATGAAGTCTTTATGACAGCATATTACATTTGCATGTGTAAAATTTACCAACGGCCACTTCCTGGTCTAAGCAGCTCTCTGCCGGTGTTAATGACCTACTTGCACGCCCTGGTTAGCGTAGCCCAGACCCAGCTGCCTGCAGACCACCATGGCCTCCTTGGTGCTCCAGGTCTCTCCACAGATCAGACCCCAGCTCTGCGTCCCGTTGGCGTCCGAGCGCAGCAGCTCCACGCGGCCCTCGTAACGGGTCCGCCCTCCTGTGAGTCGGATCTGTGTGTGTGTGTGTGTGTGTGTGTGTGTGTGTGTGTGTGGGGGCGGCGAGGGTTAGAGACCACAGAGCGTGCGGTTGATACACAAGGGCCGGGCTCAAAGAACCTGTGTCTGTTCTTTTGGTGACATTGTTTACATGTCATGTGACTCGGATTGAAAAGATGAGTCCGGCCTCAATGTGTATCTACACGAAACAGAGTTTCTCTGGTGAAACATTAAAAGGAAATCATTATTTCAAAGCGTAATTAGTTCTGAGATGGTTTCACGCATCTGAACTAATTCAGAACACACGTTGATTGTGAGAACAGTGAAGTATCGGCAGAGAGTGAAAATGTGAGATCTTTCAGAGCGTTTAGCGCTGAAGGAACACAGAATAGGAAGAGAAGCCGTTTTTCTTACCTAAGCTACATTAGTCAAAACAAAGTGATTCACAAATCATTTACAAAAGTCCTCATGCTACCTGGGGTAACAAACTTTCCCTCAAGCAAACAGAATAGTTTAAAGATGAGTCTTAGCAGTAGGAAGGTTCAGCTCTGACCGAGTCCTCGAGGCCCATGTGGGGCACGTTGCAGCGGACGGCGGCGTCCTCCACGTGCTGACAGTCCTCGGATGTGATGTTTTTAAAGGGGCAGTTCCAGATGGACTTCTCCTGGCCGAGGCACTTCACCTCGTTCATGTAGATGGGACCCATTCCTGGAGAGACACACGGTCACATGGACAGACTAAGTGGACCATCATTTACTAAATGAACATCGTGTTGTACTGAAGAAGTAACTCATGTAACCATTTCACCTTTTGAAAAAGGTTTTACCGCATGTTTGCTGTTTGCGAGTTCTATGTGTGTAATTCGTGGGCCGGGTGGTGGTCTGAGAGCGGGTTTCTGCTCCGCCTTCGGAGACTTTCTGACTTCTTACGCGGTAGAAATGATAATATACACACACAGGAGAAGACACGTCTGAGACGGCTTGTTTCTTCTATGGTGGGAACTGAGGGCCGGTTACCAAAACAAAACGACACAGAAATTTACTAAATTGACCGCCTCATTTCGACATGAAAGTGGTCCACGAGGAAGAGAAACATCTGGATTCGAGTGGATAATGTCACTGTTGTTATAGCCGCTTGTTAGGAAAATGAGCTGCGTGTTTGTTTTCCATGGAGGTTGTTGCTTTGTTTCTTTTCTTTCGTCATGTACAGAATTCCTAAGCTTATCAAAATGATGAGGAATCTGTGTAGGAGTGCAGCCTCGCTGAGGAGGGCAGATGATCGGAGATTTTTTTAGATTTTTTTTGAGAGGTTAACAAACTGGAAGCTTCTTAACCCTTGCAAAAGGAAAAAGCACAAGATGTGGCGAATCACACTTGGGTTGAATTCACATAAGCTTGGTGGAGGCGTTTTCACTCACCTTGTCCCATGCGCCCTCCGGTGAGCGCCTCCTTGGCGCTGCCGAAGCCGAGCTCCCTGCAGACCACGCTGGCCGACTGCAGGTTCCAGCGATCGTCGCACACGGTTCCCCACTCGTTGTCTTTCAGCACCTCCACCCGACCCTCGCCCACCCTGGCACCTCCCTTCAGCCTCACGTTGCTCTGGGCAACAAACAAGACACATGAAACGTGAATACATTCCTGTATCCATCTACGTCTGGCACTTTTTTGAGCAGCCTGAAGCGAGGTATTTTGGAAAAAAAGCAATTTTGGTCACAACACCTCTGCTTTTTCCAGCTATAATGAGTTAAAGAATAGAAATTACTATCTCGTGATTTAAAAGATGACTTTACCGAAGTCCTGGTTTTCTTTTTCATGCCATTGCTCTGCATGAAGAGCGGCCCCGGCATGCAGCTGACGACGGCCGCCGTGCCGCCCCTGCAGGCGGACGTGGCGTTGGCCTTGCTGAACTCCAGAGGACACGCTGCCAGGTGGACCTCGGTGCCCGAACACGCCACCGAGTGAATGCGGAAGTGGTTCTTCTGTCGCTCCAAGTACAACCTGGAGAGAGCGGAGACGGGACGGCCGTGATGACGGAAGACAGTCACTGTTTCCTTGAGCCACGCTTAACGTGTACAGTATGTATTTACTAATCATCATATGTAGTATAGTTTAAACAAAAACAAATATGCTGGAACAATACTTTCTGTTGTCACATTTTATCAACATGTTTTCCAGCAAAATTTGCTTTTTGCATTGCATTGTGGGCGAATAGTGTCCATCGATAGCACACCTAAAAATTAAGCATACGAATGCACTCTGCTTTGAAATACTTTATTTTGTCTCATTTGTAGTAAGAATATTTAACTTTTAATATCAGATAAGGTCCACACGACAATGAGGCAACATAATGTTACTTATTTAAATGCTGGTATATGAAAAGGTTGTGGGTTTGTTTCAGGTTATTAAATGTCCCTTCGTGAGAATGAATCCATGGATTCATTTCCATATTTTAAGCACATATCAGGTATTTTAATTCTAGTCACCTATTCAGCTTTAACTATCCATCACAACTAACATTTGTTCGGACTCTTATCGGTTTAAATGAGGTTTGTCGGGGAGTCTTGTGGACGCAGAACGTGTGCGGGTCTTTTCACAGAGCTTAAATTTCTGTTGATCCTCAGATTACCTTTTGCCAGCGCTGCTCTGTTTAGACTTAGCGTTAGCTTTAGCTTTGGATGTCTGCCTGCAAGGTAAACACGGGTTAGACTGCACAGTTAGGAGAACACGAGGGGGACAACGTGAAAACAGTTGCACGACACACAATCATGTGAAGAAATGAAATCCATACGCATTTGGCCACATGTTGTATAAAACATACAACATAACATGCTTGTTAGTACCTGTAGGTTTTCTTAGGGTCCCATGTGAACCGTAAGTTACCACATTGATTATGTTTGACGTATGGCTTTTAAATCAATGAGGTGGGTTTAACAAGGAAAGCATGATATTAAATGGGTAATATCATCCACGCACACTCTTTGTTAATTGGTTTATCATTTGGTGAAACAAACCTCAGCTTTTTGTTACTCTGGTACAGACCCGGGTCCAGTCAAGAATCTGCAAATTCTTAATGTAATTATTAGGTTTTAATCTCCTTAGATAAACTACTTGATGTCATTTTCCAACATCTGGTCAGTTCTTAAATGGTGTCACGTCGTAGTCGTGGTCCAGCGTGTGGATCTCTCAGGAGGGAAAATGAACCGCTGGGACTTATTTGCAGATTCTACCGGACATAGGTTGTTATTTTACACGGCGACCATGAGCTTCAGAAGGGATGAAACACAGAAGTACAACCCGTTCTCATGCTGCTCATCGCGATTCTGTGATGTAACAAAGGGGGCAACTAGCTACAACCAGGACGGGTCATCGTCCTCTACCGACAGGAAACCCACTGTCACAGCTACACAGGGCGGACGGAGGGTTTCCCTGGTGACGGAGTACCTTCCGCCGGCTGAAACAGTGACTTTTGGCCTGGACAGCGTCTCAGCTGCTCGCTTTCTCAGACGTCTGCAACGATGAGACGGCCAGATTCCATCACATACAGGAGAGAGACTACATGCAAACACACACAGACGCTGCATGCAGACCACACACACACACGCACTCACACACACACACACACTGTGGTGCTGGAGGGTCAGCGGTGAATAGCATTTCTGACATTCCACAAGACTTCAGCATATTGTATTACGGACTTTAGGTCACCAAAGTGTGATCACAATCACTGAACTATTCCAACTATTCAGAACCGAGGTTCAGCAGCTACACGGCCTCATTAGTCCAGTATCCATGGTACCGGCTGTCCAGTGACAATAACGTCTCAATGCTGGTCTACTTTGACAGTCACACCTATTTCTTAGCATTAGAATGGTCCCGGCAGTAAGTTTCTGTCTTTAAAACACCTTTAAGATTAAACTGTTTCCACGAGATGCACTTTATGGGCTGAGGTAACAACTCAACCTGGGTTGGAGATCTCAAGATAATTGTCAAAAGCTGGCTGTCCATCTTCAGCCCCTCCTAAATTCATACAATATAACCAAAAGCCCCCAAAAGGTGACAGGAGGACAACACAATGGGAGTCTTTCTGAGAGCAGGTTGGCTTCTCGTCCTCCCTAAAACCCGGATCCTTCCTCTCAGCCTTCACACGTGTTTGAGAGAAAACACACGTTTAGGAGATGGATTCTGTGTGCACTCATACTGGAAGAACAAACTGGGGGGAAAAGCAAAGTTATTTGTGGTCCTTCCAATCGACAGTCCAGGTCTTTTTTAAAGAAAATGTGAATTGGTTTTCAATGTTTAATGTAATTAGAACATCATTATTTGTGTTGTGTGTAATTGTCCAGTTTGCGTAGTTATTTTCACGCCTCTGTGCATGCATCTATAAATACATTTAACTCAAAGGTTAAATGTAAAAGGTTCCAATTAACATTGTAGACAAACTCTAGCGCTCATATATATAATGTGTCAACAGACAGTGAATAAATCAGCAACTTTTAAGACATTTATGAAGCATAAAAGCTAGACTCACGAAAAGCTAAATCTAACAACCTTAATAACAACCTTCTACTTCAACAGACTATATGTGACCAGACCACATAAAAAAAGAAAGAAAGTGGTTAACTTTGTATCCAAAGAAAACAAAAACATCCTCAGACGGAAGCATAAAGACACAGGACAGTGGGAGACTCGTGGGCTTTGCTGTAGAGAAAGTCTACGCGATCACGTCCCCGAGGAACCGTAGTTCATATCTATGCGAACCGTCTGCCCATCAGAGATCTGCCCCGTGGTTTGGTTTGTTGTTACTTTTCTTTACAGACTTAAACCACAGGAATGTCAAGCAGGCTGCAGCAAAACTCCCACAATGAAGTGATGGAGAAAGTTAAGGACACTTTGATCAGAACCAAAGAGAGAGCTGCATGCTTAAAAGGAATGTTTTTAAATGCCTTCGTGTTTAAGAGACTAAACAAAGGCGGACTTGAACCCTTGGACGTTGTGGTAAAATGACACACACTGCAACCGCTCTGCACAGAAAGTGCTACTGTTAGCTTAGCTTAGCTTGACCGACGGGTCATATACCCAGCCAGCAGTTTCCCCCGGTGCAGCCAAACCAGAATCAGACTTCGTTGGTTGGAGTGCAGCAAAGTAACTCTACTTACTTGTAGAAGTTCTTGTTGACTTTCCTCTCGTGCGGGAACCCCAGCATGCCGCAGACCACGTGCGTGTTTTTGATGGTCCATCCCAGGTCGCAGATCTGCGCCCAGCCGTCTCTGTGTCTCACCTCCACCACGCCCTCCGTGATGGGCAGCTTCCTTCTGGACATGGCGACCACGGGCCGGAGCCGCACCTCCTCGATCTTGTTCTCATCGGCTTGAGTCTGTTCCGGAATATTCAGAGTTCTATTCTCAACTCGTTACTCATTTGCTCTGTATTGTACAGAAAGTCTGTCTTCCTTTTGTATCCTGCTGTGGAGATTTCTTCTAAATAATGATGAGTTCAATTATGTTTAAGAGGCTTTAGTTTGCAGGTAAAAGGGGTGGATTTCTTAAAAATGACCACACAGGAGACAGACTAAACAACGCTCCCAGCTACTACGAGTCATTTCAGGTCCAAACTGCCCGTAACGGGTGAACGGAACAAGCTTTGTGTTGAGTCACTGCCGTCGTGGTTTACTTGGAAAGGAAAACCGGCTTGTGGTCACAGATTGGAGCCCGGACGCCACATTCGACTGAGCCCGACAGGAGCAGCAGGCCGAGGGAGGGAAGAGGCCGCCCACTTATGAACCTCTTATGAAACGCTTTTTTCCATAAGAGACCTTCTATGTAACGCAGACGACGGGTCGTCCAGTCGCTAAAGCCGGTTCCAGGAGTCCCCGCTCTCACCTTGTTCACCTCGGACCAGTCGCTTAAACAAATTAATACCAAGATGGACAAACGGGAAAGTGACGACCAGCTACAGTGTTTTCTCAGATTAAGTTGTTCCTTCAGTTCTAAATCTTTGTTTATCCAAGGAGGTTTTAATGAAAACACTCAATCTTTCTTCAAAAATTCTTCACATTAGCAATCATTCCCATCTTTAATTTATAGACATTTGGTGTTTTTAAATCTGTAAACAGCGCATTCCTCACTCTTTTTATTTAGATATATTTAACATATTTATTTTATTGTAAATTTCCATTTCATATCTGTATGATTCTTGACTTTTGGGTTTTGTTCTGTTCTTCTTCTCTCTTCATTGCAACGGTTGTGTTCCAACATGGAAATAAACTGCTTCTCCTTCTGATCAAATGAGTATCAGTTATATAACAACATGAAACATGTGTGTAATATGATATATTAATACCATGTTAGTGATACAAATATGTTAACATATAATATTTTAGGCCTAATCTTCGGATGGCACGCGATCGGCCGGTACTGCTTCAGACTGGGTGAATTTTTTAATGAAAGTTCTGTCACAACGACGTTGTTACGTATCGTGGCGCTTTTGTTGGTGAGTTTACGGAAATCCTTGACTTTTCCTTGTGGGTTTACTGCGTATACCTGCGTACCAGGTAGACTACACCTCTACAGTATTACACATCTCCGTACAAATGCACAAATTATCATATAAACACCTGAAGTGGGAGATACTGCTGAGAGAGAGGACAACATTTTTACATCCGACCCGGTGACCAGAGTTCACGACCTCGGCCTTCTCCACAACCCCCGTTGGAGCTGCGCTCCGTGACGGAGGAAGCTCCTCACACACACTACGTCAACATCAGGACAACGCACATATGGAGAGCCAGCTGCTTTTAAAAGGCTCACACGCATGTTGTGGAAAATCAACGCCGAGGCGATGAATGTCTTCCATGTGGACTGAATCATGTATTCTCCAGGCTGCAGAGACCCTGGGCTCGGTTTATGGGCCTTTAACAGCTTCCAAATGAACATTACTTTTCCTGAAAAAACACTTACCTCAATAACATTAGAATCCACGAAGCCAGGGATCCTCTCGTCTTTGCACACAACTCCGGCATCCTCGTCGTGAGTGCAGTCGCTGTTGCCCCAGCCGCGGGACTTGCAGAGCTCGATGCTCTTCTCGCCTCCGTTGCACTGCACGTTGTCCAGCCAGATCTTTCCTGAACAGGCAGCAGACTGTTAGTGCACACGCTTTGTTTATTCATCTACCAGGGGCCGTGCACATTAACCACTGTTTCCAGCTCAGTGTAACGTAAATATGCGCAAAAAGTTATCTGAAGTCCCCATACCTTTCTCTTTACACGGAACCACAACCACAACTGCGTCACATGCACCATCATGGTAAATGCACATATGCGACAGCACGCTGCGTATGAAGGTGGCCCGAGGTCACGCTTACCTTGGCCCTTGCCGTATTTGGCGCTGTGGGTCCATCCTGTGGCCGAGACGAAGCCCAGGTGGCGACAGAGCACGTTGGCGTTGTGTATCGAGAAGTCGTCGTCACAGATGGTTCCCCACTCGCCCTGGTGGAAGAGCTCCACCCGACCCTCGTTGTGTTTTCGGGGGTACCCAGACAGTCTGACCTTTAGCTGTGCGGTCTGAGACTGGACGGACGCGGACGGTGTGGACAGTGACGAGGGCGTCCGCGTGGGCGTCCGTGTGGGCGTCCGCGTGGGCGTCCGCGTGGCTGCGTTTGAGGGTGTCGTCTGGGCCAAACAGCACGGCAACCACAACCCCAACAGAAGGCTCCATGCTAACTGCATTGTTTCAACTGCACGTGAGAAAAAGGAGCAGACGGTTATTGTCACATTCAAGGTTTTTGAAGTATGTGAGATGAACATAATGTGCAGAAAACGTTCATTATGAGAAAGCCAGATGATCAGTTAGCCTTTGGTACCAGAGTAAGACACTTGATCTAGTTGTACCCCAAAGGTCTTCGGTTGGCCCAAAAACAGCCTTCTGGTCGGGCCCTGGTGTCCTAAACGAGACCCTGAATGAATCCTAAAAGTAGTTGTAGCTTAAACCAAGAGGCTCCACACAGAGGAGCTTTCACATTCAGCATATGGAACTACTGTGAGGATGAATTAAACCGCATAGAGCTGCTTCAACGCGTTGATCAGAACCACCTGGGCAGTGGTGACGTCGCTCACGTGTGGGGAAGAATAACGGGAAACATTTAGACTTGTGTGGAAGTCAACGGCTACACCATGAGCCCGGTCACCAAGGTCACATGAAATCAAAGCCGTACTTTCACGGTATGTTTGTTCCTGCTTTATAGTTTTTCTGTCCATTTTTCGTTCCACAGTTGGCAAGCTTTTATTGAGCAGACTTCACCTTCATTCAGGACATTTTCCTGTGGGTTTATATTCATTCATATTTCTTGACACAAGCCACCTTTTACATACAAATATTCACATTTGTGTACAGCGTTGTTGACATAGGCCTGCTATTGATAACTTTACAGCTCCGCTCCTTCTTTGCTTTTAGCGGGTTGGGGGTCGTTCCTCCAGAGACACAAATACAGTAGTGTGATGTGTTTGTACAGAAACCACAAACTTAAGGTGCCCTTTCCAAAACATGTCTGAGACTGACTGCATGGTCTGAGTCCAGCTTCACGGTGTATGGAAGGACACACACGTTCTCTCTGAGCCGCTGTGTCTGGACCGAAGCCACGTGGTGCCACATTTGCAGCAGATATGTTTGTTGAAGCCGGTTTCACGGATTCAAAATGTGATGTTTAGTCCTTTCACTGCGTGGTGAAATAATCATGTTTTCAAAGTCACAGTAAAAATATAAACTTCCTGCTATTTTAACAGTCTTCCTGTGAAATGAGGCCTCATTATGTTGGTGGGTGGTTGTGGCTCAGGGGGCAGAACGGGTCGATCTTTAACCAAAGTTAAGGTCCGATCCCCGGCTCCTACTGTCTATATGTGGAGGTGTCAGCTCATCCGACCTTTTTGGTGTGTTCATTTTGAAACCTCGATCACATCAGGCTAAAGAGAGTTGAACATATTATGTAAGTTGAATCAGCTTACTTCAAATCAACCCCCTCTCTCCCTCAAATCAAGCACTCTCCACACCAATGTGCACATGGATCAGGTCCGCTCACATCAACCAGCACCAGGCAGCTGCTTCAACACACAACAAACTACGAACCTGTTTGCTGATCAATTCACCGACAGAGTTCTGCAACTCGCTGTGCTTTTTAAAGGGAGGAATGCGATTGAAAGCTTTCTGGTCAACAGAAAGCGTTTTCCTGCTTTGTGAAACTTGATGTACAAATCAGCCAACATCAAGGAATGGAAGTGTAGAGGAAGATTCGAGGATGAGGTAGTTCCTCAGTTCAGTTTTAAATCTCGAAAAAATAGGAAAACTAAAGTTTCTATAAATGGAGACACGGATTCCTGTGAACACACTTCAGACTATTTTTCCAGGTGAATATTTATTTGGCTTTGGGGACACAACAGTTTCCTGTTGCAGCATTCCTCACATATTTTCATCTCCAATAGTCAGGATCCTAAAAGTGTGTGTGAGTATATATGTACACACACACACGCACGCACGCACGCACACACACACACACACACACACGCACGCATTTCAAACGAACGTGCCTGACCGTATGTTTCCAGTGAGAGGAGGCTGTAACGGCTCCAGAGGGGCTGAGTCTTCAGTTATCAGGTTTTCCCAGAAGTCCACAAACTGAACCTCTCAAAGGCAAAAGTTGAAGAAATATCCCAGAACTCGAGCTAATTCATCTCCTGCATCAAAAACGGGTCCAATTTGCGGGCCGGTGGTCCATCGAGCAGCAGAAGAACTGCTCCCAGTGGTGCCGTCTGCCAGCTGTGCAGCAGTCACTGAGGAGGAGGAGGAGGAGGAGGAAGAGGAGGGCTGGCTTCCTCCCTGCAAAGACACACGAACTCTTTCATGGAAGTTCTGTAACAGCCGGTCCTACCTCGCATTACGCCACACAGAGAAAACGCGATTTTCACGTGACGTTGTTCAGATTCAAGCGCTGAAAATATTTGCAAATGAGCTTCTCGGGAAAACATGTGTTTGTAAAATTAAACTCAAAGCAATGATTAAAAGTTTTGGATAAAACATCTAATGTAAGCGAGCTAAAGTTAATCGCGCTAACGTCATATTACTGTTCGCTAGCCGTTGGCCACCGTTATCGGTTAGCTTAGTTAGCTTGCTCATTAGCAGTTGTGCAGTTTAGTTTACCGCACTTTTTCCCATAGTTTCCCGGAGCACGGAAGCGAGGAATACACGCGGTACAACCGTTTTTCTCCTCCACGCATTGGCTTTTAGAAGCATAGAAGCTTTGCGGCAAAGTTAAAGGCCAAAGATGCGTTCGCCTCAAAACATTACGACAATTTGATTTGCTTTCCGGTAAAATCTCCAGGTCGTTGGTATGGGAACATCGTTCGCGTGAGCGCAACATTCCCGCCTCACAGAAAACGAAAGAGGGCGGAGGACACGTGACTTCGCCTTCTGTTTGTCTTTACGTTAAACGAGATCATAATTTAAGGTAAACTAGGTTAACTACTTACATGTAATGGTTGTTCAGAAATTGCCAGTACTAGCATCGCAATTTTCTGGTAAATGTTAAGATATTTTTCAGATTCAGATCAATAATCCCAAATATAATCATTTTATAACTTCTGGTGTATTACTCTGTATAACGAGAAGACTGCTAACTATCACAACGATCAATAAAAAATAGTTTACCAGCTACAACATTAAAGTAATGTTAATATAATGCATCGGTGAGTATAATTCAAAATGACAGAAGTCGGAAGGTAACGTTAAGAAAACACATTTTGCCAGAAGCTGTCACAAACATATGAAAATGTGTTTTTAATAGGAACAATGCAGTAATGAATTTTGACTATTACAAAAAAAAAATTATTTTCAACTGAGCACATTATTGTATTTCATACAAAAATATGACAGGCACTTTTTTCTAAAATCAACGTACTGTATATAGAACATTCTGATGCTTTTCATCAAGTAACTGACAGCAACTGTGCAACTTATTTGTGAGTGAAATCTCTTTTAGGTATTTAAGAGTTCATTAGGATCCGTGTGATCCATCGATGGAGACGATGGATGAAAAAAGCAAACATTAAATTGGGACGGATGAGCATTAGATGAAACGATGGGACAAATGACAACTCCGATAACAGCGTGTCACGGTTTAACATGCTTCCAGTTCCACCTTCCTAAAGGAAACAAAGTTTAGGAAGCTTGACAGTGAATTCAAAACGTTTAAGTACAAACATGCTGAACAAGACAAAGACGCTTTGGGATCAGGAGCTGAAGCTGATTTAAAAAAACATGGGGATAACTCATATTTTTCATATAATGCCCTCAAATTCACAATCTGTCGTTTCACATGCTCCGATTTCCCTCCACAAGGACGGGGTTGCAGTGGCTCAAGGGCACTTCAGCAGGGCAGAGGCTGGAAAGGGACTTAAATGTTTCACTTGAGCTTTACAGCCTATTGTTAATAACCCCAAAACTGATTGTCTAGAATTTCTGATACCAAAGCGGTTATAAAAATGAAGTAAACAATTAAAGTTCATGAACATTTCACACATTAACATGTCAATTGGTAAGATTAAATAAGCAGTACACATTCTATAGAAGGTAACGGCGGATGTCTCAGTGTTTTGCTTTAGCTTACAAAGAGCTTCAGATGGATGGGAGGAATATCACGACATTTTACTTTAGTTTAAATAGTCTGAAGTCTTAACTTAACGAACCATGACTCTGACCAGATAAACCAGTGTTGATACGCTGTATTCAAGAATGTAAAGCGCAAATAATTAATAATTAATTAATTAATAATCTGCAACATTGTAAACATCTTTGGCTCTAAACACTAAAGTCTGTTTAGCTATTGTCTAATAAATAGACAACAATTAATGAGCAACCTATTCAGGAAATAAACAATGACAAATAATGGGGAAATATTTCCTGGGATTAACTTTGAGTTCTGGCAACCATATTATTAACTAATAAAGAGTTTGGTCTGTGACTCGGTAGGGAGAACATCCTCGTTCTTAAGACTTTGTGGACGTACTTTCTAAGTGTTTGAGGAGAACGTGGTGGATTTCAGACCGAACCTGACTTGTTTAAAGACTTGGCTGCGTACGACTTTGGTCCGGGCGGGAAGCACTTCCGTCCGCTGACCACAGCAGCGTGTCAACCCCAATTAAGACTCCACCTTCACACTTTTACCAACTAGCTGATTGCTGAGAACATTACAGGAGCTCTAAACGTTTGACAGTAGTCCTGCCGCAAATAATATGTCAGTAACTGGCTGGTGGCTGACACAGCATCCCATTACGGAATTAATTCTGGCCAGTCTAAAGTGCTAAAGGATTTTGCAGCAGATCGACGAGTGCTTCTTTAGATGCAGAGTGGACGGATTAGGACGGATGCAGAAGCTCTAACAGAGCTCCAACTGCTCCGAAGTAGCCCTAGAAAAACAAAACAAAAAGTTAGAAATTGCATCAAAGCACAAAACGGCTATTTGGGTTCTTGATGGTTTTATTTTGAAGCCCTGTAACTCTGAACGGTGCTATATGAATAAAGTTATTGTTATTATTATTATTAAGTGGTTGAGTTATTTACCTCATGCTGAAGGAAGAGGGCCTTCAGCTGTCCTTTAGACCAGTAGTCCATAGCGTAGGCCAGCAGCTTCATTGACAGGGTGTTCACTCTCAGGAAGTTACCCACAAACACCACTCTCTCGATGTTCTTTGTGGTGAAGAAGAATAGGCGATAAGACAATTCGGTTAATGAGAAAGTTTCTTATCTGAAGTATTACAAAGACAAATGTCAAATATTATCCACGTGTCAAACTGTGAAATCCTTTGAGATAGAATGCAACTAAACAAAATAGTTGGACAAAGACTCTCTTATAATGACAATATTACTTGTTTGTGAATGAAAATAAATATTTGACTTATAACCATTATGTCACATAGTGACATGCTAGTTAAATTACCCAACTGCATTTTGAGCGTCTATCTATAAAGCATAAAGTAAAATATTTATAGTTTTTAAACTTCCATTTGATTACAGATTAGAGACACATCTCATTCATTATTGCAGGTCTGTGTGCGTAGATTGTTTCGGGGATGGACACCCCTCTGCTTAAGGTGTTCAGCGACAATAACGCAGCGTACCTCCTCTGAGCCTTCATAGCCCTGTACAATGCTGCTTGATCGAGACGCCACAAGGCAGCACCGTAAAGAGGCTGAACGCAAAGAGGAAACCACCAGCAGGGACACCAGAGCAGAGCGGCTTTCTAAAGAAAGGGGCTTCTACGTCGACGTTTACTTCATCACCAACCTCATTGAGGGCGCACATCCTGGTGATGGAGCCGATGTTGTTGGTGATGGTGACCAGCGTTGCTCTGGCCAGGTCTTCTTTGGACACCGACTCCCTCTTCTCTTTGGACATCATGTGGCCAAAACTGTCAGATCGAAACGGGTCATATGAACGAACAAAGCAATGTCATATAATTAGAGAGCTAATCCCGAAAGCAAGGTTCTGATCAACTTATTTTTAATAAGTATACATACATATTTAGAAGTTACACGTTGAATTCAGGGGGCTACAATGGGATGATATGGGCTTCAAAACGTCTCTATACAAGATTTTTTTTTTCTCACTGTGACCAGCTGTTTTTTTAATAAAAACATTTCATAATTGAAAAATACCTTTTGCCTTTTCTTCCCCATGTCATTTTTGGACCTTCACACACTTCTTTTTCATGTCATTTTTTGACCTACATTGTTTTGACTTTTTTTGAAAACATTTTTCCTCCCATATTTTTTGTCGGAATATATTTAGACTTTTTTTCCCATGACATTTTTTGACAGAATATTTCTTAATATTTTTTCCTATGACATTTTTTGACCAAATATATTTAGACTTTTTTTCAAAACATTTTACCACCTAATTTTTTTCCCATTACCATTTCTTTACTTAATATATTTAATCTTTTTATTTCAAATTGTATCCATAGTCGACCAGCTGATCTAGCCAAAACTTATTATGTATATATTTTGCTGATTGTAGAACGTAAAAGTGTGTTATGACTCAAGGACACGGACATCTCACTGTCACAGAATGATAACTCACACAAGTTTTTCATTTGAGAATCACAATACCTCTAAGAATTGATTCCCCCCACCCCTAAAGGAACTTAAGTAAATGTGTCGCTGTCCTGGTTCTCGGTTTCATTACGGCTGTGACTGGGTTCATCCCGGAAGCCACCAAAAACAGTTGTGACTCACAGTGAGAAAAAAAAAAATAGCTGCTGTAAACCGCACCTTGAGGCTACAGCCCAACCTGGCAGCCCAAACCTCTCATAGTCTCCTCCATAGATGTCCCGAACCAGCTTGTCCACTCGGGTGCTCTCCCCTTGAGAAGCCATTTCTAGAGCTTCCTCGAAAGTAGAGCAGCCAGTCAGCAGGCAACACAGGCCCAGGAAGGTCCCACCACCGAGGCTGGAACAGAGAAATATATATATATATATATTATGTAGAGCTATAAATATTCTAGAAATGTCATCAGCGCGGACTGGGTCTCAAATTAAGGTCAAAGAGGAATTTCTCTACCAAATGTTAAATTGAGCACTGAAAGAAAAGTTGTGTCGATAATGTGTTTTCTTGAATTCTGCTACTTTTCACACCAAGGCTCCAGGGAGACACCAGGGGCGGTTTTCACAAAGCAAGCCGCCGACTTGACGGGAGCGACCCGACCGGCAAATCCCTGCATCACTTCATTCCGCCGTCAGCCGGCATCTGGCTCACTTCTGTCAGCTCGTTTTCCATTTTTGTGTGTTTCCGCTGACATTTGAAGCGAGTTGACACAAACAGCCAATACCTCTTTAAATATAAAATACTGCATTTCATGTTGTTTTCTTTTGCTCATTCTTTCAAGACTGTAGAATGTCATCTGACCTCCAAAAAGCTTCTTTAATCTGTATTTGAAGGTGGTCTTGAGGTTCACCTCTGCACTTCCATTACGTAAATAATATTAAATGACTAATAGTCCACCAGCTTACACGGCGAGTGCACAGTAGATGCATCGCTGACAATTACCTGGTCCCTGTAACTCGTTTGTAGTTGGTCTCTGAGTACACGGCCAGGATGCTGACGCCGGACCCTATGTTGACCAGCAGCAGAGGGTAGGGGTTCTCCAGGGTGTAGGGCCTCTGGATGCAGCGATCTGGGTCTGTGGGGTTTTCAAAGTAGTAGCACTCCGATGGTCCGCTGGACACCACCGAGTCGATGTACAACACCCCCCGAACCAAACAGTCCAGCTCATCCAGCTTGTGGAGCTGCAGGTCCGCCATCTTTTTTTGTGACAGTGAAAAAAATATGGAAAACATGAGAATAAAATAAATGTATGAATGAATAACAACGCTTGAAGGGGCCTTTAGTGCCACAGTTGTACTTTTTCTCAGTGTATTCACCGTTTAGTTGGTCCATAATTAACTAATGGTTCATCATGTTTAAGAGGGAAAAATGTATAATAAATAAATGTGAATGTATTTGCTTTGATGTCTAACCTATTGCATGAGGACACACATGCTCCTGTTGCCCCTGTAACCAATGGCAGTATTGCTACACCTCCAAATTTGGATTTTTAGTGTTCGCCATCAATGGCTGATCGGTTCAGATGACATCACATGCTATAAATAGGTTATTCTTTGACAATTCCGGTCTGCTCTTTTCTTCACCGACCAGCCTGTAAAAGCAAAGAGAAGACAACAACAGCAGACCCACCGTGCGGAAGTCAGACTCAAACTTGTACGCCCCACCTCCCGTGGCGCAGAGGGTGGTGTGGAGGCTGGAGAAGTGCTTGTTGCGGCCCATCTGCAGGAAGGCCGGCAGGTCGTGCGTGGGGAAGCGGATGAAGTGCAAGTTGCCCGTCCTGCCGCACAGCGTCAGGTCCTGCAGCTCCAGGTGCACGTCCCTGATGCCCGTTTTCCCATAAGCGGTGTTTGAGGTTAGGTAGTGGCGGATGCTCTTCAGGTTCTCCACCTCCTCCTGCTCCTCCTCTGCTGTGATGTCTTTGGGCTCAAAGTACACCAGCTTCACTAGAGTCCCTCCAATGTCCATTCCAAACCAGGGAAACGCTGCATGGTGTGAGATAATATCGATCAATACAATTAAATCACTCACTAATATATATATACTGATTTTTAAATATTGCACAATATATGTACATTTTGAGTTAAAACGCTCAGTGGCGGTGAGGACTGTAGAGCTGATGTCTAAATGCTGGCTGACATGACGGCAAAGTGCCTCATCCACAGAAGCAGAAGTACAGGTTCTACTGTAGTGTTTGTACCGCAAACGCCATCTTGTTGCAAAATAGACCCCGGCTATTTACTGCCGCTACAGCGTACAGATATTACATTGTAATAACAATACCAAACTCATTTTTTTCAGTTATTCCACCATTGCAGCACACTTTACAGACATTTACAATTTATTAACCGGAATGAATGCCACTCGTAAGAGTGCTCTATTTTTAAATTTCAAAACGTTGATTGTGAGGGGGACGCATTGTGGATGTTGTATATTACATACGACGATGCGCGCTCCAGCAAATACGCTGAGCCCATGCTTGAAAACACCTACGCGGCCTTGTTTTTTTCACCGAGTCGCTCCGATGCCTCGCCGTCGCGTTGGAGGTCCGCCGGTCGGATGTGTCTCTTCCCGCGGACGAGGCTGCCTCATTGTCGGGATCGTGTGTGAAACCACCGTGCATCTCCATGTCGGACCGCGGCTGCTTCGTGGGCGTTTCGTCTTCCCCGATATTTTCATCCTCGCGTTTGTAGCCATTGAACGCCATTTTAACGACTAACTCACTACATACATGCCACGGTTTATGATTAAATAAAACCTTCTAACGTCTATGATTTGTGTGGACAATGTCCAACTATGAGGTAGTTAATTAGCCGACTAAGTAGCTGTGTCGTTAACGGTCTGTGTTCATGTCCCTTTTATCTTCCCTGTCAAAGACGGGAGTGGGCGGGATCAGTCGGTGATGGAAGGACTCCAGACCCAATCAGAATGCAAACACGGGCTAGAAAACAAGACTACAAAAAGAAGCGGTGACATTTTTCTTGATGAAGTGTGAACCGCTTTATAATCCCCAACTATGGAATGCCGTTTTAGTCAAAGTTAAATAAATAAATAAATACATGAAATATGCATTTGAAGTACATCATGAAATAAATAAATGAGGCAGTACAGCCCGCCAAATGTTTTACATTTTTATTTTTTTATGGTTGGTTTAGATTAAGTAAAGGTCAATAAACCGTAAAAAAAAAAGCCTTGTAAAAAAGGATGGATTTGTTTTGCATGGTTATTTATTCACCAATTATCAAAAAGTATGTAGTATTTTAGATTAGCATTTGTTTGGTTAGTAATAGAATGATCCAGCTATTACCAAATAATCTATAATGCAAGCATTAGAATATATAATATTAATGACAATAAAGTCAAGTTGCACTCTCACTCATTAAATTGTTGTTTCTCAGCAGGGGAATTGACATGCACACTAAATAGGGATTCTTTTTAAATATCAAGTTTATTGTTTATATGTTTGTCAAATGTATAGCTTGGGACAGTGACTGAAGGTTTGATGAATATTAAACTTAGATTAAGATTCAAATATGTTCCATGATAGGAATACATTTAATACACAAAGCATGTTTACAGCTCAAAAGCCCTTGTTCCTTATAATATTTATTTATGCTGACAATGCTATTTACAATAAAATGTCATTTCACAGAACACAAATTCTCAAACTGGCTTCTATTAAAATGGAGAACAAATCCAATGGAGACATAAAATGCAATCCCAAAGAATTCCCACCAGAAGATGGCCATAGAGCACCCAATATGTCGCTAAGTGCAGCAAGATTTACCCATTTCCAATTTTTGGTTACGTCACAAACAGAGGAAATAAGCCATATCCGCAAAAATAAGCATTTAAAAACCCAGTTAAACATGAAGCTACTGACATGACATCTCACGATTAACACTCTCTCTAGCTTTGAAATAAAACGGAAGTATATGGTTTAAAAGCGACTTGGAGAAACAGGTTAGATCATATGGATCATATACAAACGCAAAGTATGTTAATTATGCACCCTAGGTGGCTGATTCTTTGAGACATGACAGCCTTGGTATGTTTTTTGACATCAGTCTATGTTAAAATACCTATATAGTGTAAATATGTACAAATAAATACATCGTTTTAGAGTGTGATGCTGACACTCTTTCTTCCACAGTTTATATCCGGTTAAAATTCCGGTCCTTGGTAGACTAATCTTTACCGGATGACCGCTGACAGTCTTATCTTGAAAGTGCTCATCAGACAAGTGAATAGACAAACAATTCTATCACTAATAGACAGCTTAAGTGTATCTTTACAGACCACCTATTTGCATCCAGTTGCATAAAGAACCTGAGATCTCAACCCCAGATCCATGAAGTTACCTAATATAAGACGGGTAGGTTCGGTTTCATCCACCATTAAAAACAATCACCCTTTTAATTCATTCATAGTGACGCTCAAAGGTCTGCAGATCAGCCATTACTACTGTCGGTACTTATTAAACAGCTGCTTCTCCACCGTTCCAGTGATGCAATAAAAAAGGCACTATAACCATTACGTTTCTCTTTCAAAAAGCCTAATCTTCCTTTAAAAGGGTATTAAATCTCCTTAGTTCTTAAACCTCCACGCCAACAGCAGTGCACAGGCGCCAACTCCTGCAGCTGCCGCAATGTACTTCGCGTGAGCAGCCGTCTCCCAAGGCGGGGAAATACCAGCGGGCCCGGAGGGGTCGCAGGCCTTGCCGGAGGGCGAGTTCCCGGCGGTGCAGGCAGGTGGTGCTGCGGGCGGTGCAGAGGGGACCTCCTCGGCCGCCTCGCCGTTCGGGATCCGAGCCGGCGCCGGGCTCTGGCCGTCCAGGTCGAGGACGGACGCCTCCTGGGACACGTGCACCACGTGCGTCATCACCCCCGAGCTGCGACCCTCGTAGTGGTTTTCCTCCGGTTCGTTCCGGCTCAGCGGAACGCCGTTCTCCTGGCACGCCGCCACGGGAGGCGGGGCGGCGTCGGAGACCTCCGTTGAGGCGTCGCTGATTTCCAGACGCCCGCTGTCGCCCGAGTACGGCTGCGCGGGGGGGACGGGTGCAGAGGCTGTGGGGCGGCCGTTGTTTGCCGGGTGGACGCTGACGAGTTGGCCCGGCTTGCTCAGACACATGTCGTCGTAGTCGTCACGGAGAACGGCGTCTGCCCCATTGGCGCCCGGCAGCGGGGGGGTTGGAGCCGCGACTTCTGTCTCAACAACCTGCAGGTAAAAAATCAATTTCAATTTCTCTGTCGAGTACGTGAATGTGGTTTGAAAACAAAGCACGGCTGAACAATCGAGATCCCTCGCAGACATCGTAAGTATATTTTACTCACAAATGTTATGCTGTTGGGTTCAATTTAATTGTTTTTATGAGTAAGTGCCGGTTTGAAAGCAGGAAGAAACAAACTAGCAAAAGTATGTGATTTAGGATAATTAATTAATTATTGCTAATGAAGAAAACTTTATATGTAAAATAGATCTAGTGTTTGAAAGAGTACTTCTAACTTTGGCCTTGGGAAAACTTCACAAATCAAAAATGTATTTAGTGATCTTCCATCCTAAAAATCTTCAATAGTACTACAATAATACTTTAGTCTTTAATAATAATACAGATGCCTTTGCCTACACAACTTGTTTTATTACTGACCCTTTTAAAACACTTTGGAACTCACCTGTGTGGCAGCAGGTTGAAAGCTCTCTTCGGGCTGCAGGACAACCGCTGGTTTTAGGTCCACTTGGGCCGCGGTGTCCTGGACCGGAAGCCTCTCCGGGGTCATCGTGAGGAACGAGGATCCGTCCGTGACGTCGGAGTCCATCTGGGTCAACGAGGGACTCGTCGGGGGCCCGACCTGTGCGGAGGTCGTGGTCGTCTGGAGAGGATCCGTGTGCGATGGCGTGTCTGTTTCACACGGGCCCGGTGGAGGCGCAGACGCGCGATCCGCCGATACCTCGCCGCTTTCCCCGCTCTCCCCAGCCGGGGTCACGCCGTTGTCCCCGGGGACGTCCTGGATGTCCGATTCAGAGTTTTCCTCCGGTTCCTGGGGAGCGTTAACCTCCCCCTGCGCTGGAGTCGCCTCAGCGGCCACGGGCTCAAAGGACGTGGGAGGGGTTGAGGGACGAGCCGCCACTTCGACCTCAGTCGCCTGCGGAGGCTCAGGGAGCGGCCCGGGTGGAGGAACAGCCTCGGGGAGCTGCGCCTGCGGGGCCGGCTCTGGAGGAGCCGACTCTTCAGCTGGCGGAGCGGCGGCGGCCTGACTGTTTGCACCGCCCTCTGGGACGGACGGAGGACGGGCAGATGGTGCTGGATGGACGTGTGCCCTGACGACGGTCGCCGGAGGGGAGCTGGAATCTATCAAAGCAAACAAAGGTGGGCTTTTAAAGCCGGTGTGAGGGGCCCGCTGACTCGGTAACAATACAGAATTCAGTCATCATCAAGCAGCACTCGGGTTCGCAGGAAACGCTGATATGTGTAAATGTATTTATCTTTGTGAATGTACCTTTTTTATCGTTTTTTCATACGTTTTTATATTATTGTCAGTAAATCGTCAAGGTGTGTATATAAAACAATCCCCTCACATCAAAAACATGTGTAGAGCAAGTCCACTCAATGCAGTTCTTTGGGATTTCACAAACATCCAGAGGTTTCCTCTACTTATGATTTATTGAGTTTTTTGCTACAGTCTCATATTTTCATTTGACTTTTATTGTATTAAATGCTGTGTATTGAAGGCTGGAGATACATAAGTTTCTAACCTTTTTCTTCTGGGCGTGAAGTTTGTCCTTCAGTAAAACATCTATGTGCAGCTATCAAACGCTGTGTGTTCTGTGTGCTAATTACAGATGTCTCAGAAACATGTTACCATGACAATTTATGGGTCTTGGGTTTTATCATTTAGAGTTCGCAGGTCCCCACTCTCACACACTTTTGTCTTTTTTTTCCTCACAACGTGGATATCTGTGAAGGTCACACAGTCGATAACAGCGTTCTTTGCTCTTCTTTTTCTATTAAATAATTCCCTCCATTTCTGATATAATTGATGCCAAACAGCGGCTTTCTCCTGGTCGACTCAAACACAGCCGAGCGCCGCCCCTCAGCCAGCGAGGTAGATTTTCATTCAACGTAAAAGGTACTCGACTTAAAGACTTACTGCTGACGCCTCTCAGAGCGTCGTACTCGGCTCTCATATCAGCCGCCAGAGTTGTGTGCTCACACGCCTCCAGCGCGTCGATGAACTGCTGCGGCCAGTTTTCTCGCCTCTTCAGACAATCCAGAAGGAGCACCATGCTGTCAAAGTTCCCATTGGTTTCCCTTTTTGCCTCTATGTTTTCCTAAAATTAGATTTCATACCAAAAACATGCATGCGTTTGAAAAAGATTTACTGTTTGTAATTAGTGGTAATAAACATTATAAATAACTGATAATAATCTTTTTTTTTAATTATTATGGTTATGATTGTGATGTCAAAACTACAATTCTTGACTCAATGTTTTTAACATAAAAATAAAAAACAGAAGTGGTATTGTATTGCTATGCCTGCTTAAACAAAACGCTGCAGTTGATAAGTGTATTTAAATAAATGTTTGTCATAGTTGTCAATACTGTCACTACATCCTAACGTAAGACCAATAAACTGAAAGGTTCCTCGGGCTCCTTTTAAAGCTCAGAATGGCATTTGCAAGATTCTACCGTGGCCGTGGAAAAAAAAAAACATCTAACTGTTTAAAATAGGAATCAAGATTCTGTAACTACAAAGACTTTTTTTTAACAATAGCCAGAGGAACTGTGGTCCTTCACGCGGGATGAAACTTACCCGGTCGTGAGGAGTCAAGCAGGGCAGATGGATCATTATCTCTCTCACTTTCACCTGGGTCACAATGGTCGGCATTTTCCTCCGCATGTACCCGTTGTACAGTCTGTCATTGGCGAAGGACATCTAGCAAATGAGAAAGTGGACAAAACACACACGGTGTGACGGTTAGGACTAAAAAAAAAAAAAAAGGGTATTTTATTTCTACTTTTTACAACATGCGAGATGAGGAAAGTACCAACAAAACCACAAACGCAAACTTTTTACTCAGTGAAAGCGAAGTGAACGATGACCCAGTGAAGTTTAGACTTTTTCTTTTCTTCTTGTGTGTGTGCGCAGAGCTGCAACTCCTTTCTTCTGATTTCAAGGGGAGGACAACGATCTCTCCTCCAAGGTTGCAGTTGTCCAGCGCAGACTAGTCACTGATTAATCCACCAAGACTTCAGTTTAATATCTGAAATTCTCCACACACCCCCACAGTGTCGCCAGGGTCAAAAATAAAGCCAGCGCACTCTTGTTTGCGTGTGTTATTCCCTTTGTTTGTGTCTAAACAGTCGGGTGAAGTAATCCGCTGTCAGATTTTCTCGGGATTACCCGCCGTCGTCCTCGGCCTCGTCAAACGGAACACTGCGTTTCAGTTTGGTGTAAACACGGAGCAGCAGCAGGTCTGGAAAATAAACGTCAGACGCAGAAACCAAAGAGCAAAGTCTTCCTCGACGTATCATTAGCCTCAGGAGGCCGAGGTTGGCCTGACGCGCGCACACACACACACACACACACACACACACACGCATGCACGGCAGGCTGATATGCTTCGTTGGGCTCAGGATTAAAGAAGAATACACGCAGTGTGTGGGTTTTTGGGATTTTCAAGCAGGCCCCTAAGTGTGTAGTGATGAGAGAGTTTAGATCACCAGGGTTAGCGAGGTGGTGCTGTGATGGAGGGGGTGGAGGAGGAGAGGGTGGAGTGGGGGGGCACCTTGGCACAAGGGCAATCCATGCAAACCGAGCCAACGAATGACCTCTAAACCGGCAGGTCACCGCCGGTCTCCTTGGCTTTCCAGCAACTTGCTTCAAGTGTTTTTTTTAGTTCTTAGTTCAGATTCAAATTAACTTTATTCTACCACACAAGGACATCCGACACACAAACAAGATAAAGGCTGCTAACTACCTATAGAATATTTACATTTAATGTGAAATGGAATTGTCGGGTCTATTTGGGGAATAAACAACAGATTTAGCCCTTTTTGGAGGCCCAACACCCGACTGCGTTTAAACTACAAATACGACTTAACTGCATGTAAAATACGGAAATACGTTGTTGCATTACGTTACAGCTAATGAACCTGAATGCTCATTTAAAAGTGAGCCAACTGGAGGTAACTTTTAATAAATGAATACGACGCGTGTCAGCGCTGCTTCCGGGGTCGACGCTAAAACTCGCACAACCCTCAATGAAACCCGTCTTCTTTGAAACAACACGGTTAGTAAAGGACACACAATCGAAACGTTACATAACACACTGCTCACCTTCCGTGTTTTCGGTGCCTCGGCAGCTCGTGACTCGCCGTGAGAAGCTATTCCTGCGCTGTCTCCTTCACACACATCTGCGCAGCTGTTCCCCCCCTTGAAGGGACTCCCCGTCCTGCCTTCCTATTGGTCGAGAGCGCCGTCGATCAAAGCGCGGGCCAACAGGAGTGCGGTGGTGCTGTGGCGGAGGCGGGGAGCGCTTACTCGTGACCCTTAACCCTGACCTTTGCTGCGCTCAGATGGGACGACAGCCGAATTCGATTGGATCTAGGCTTCTGTTTTACATCTGTCTCTAATCCTTTATCCTAATCCATCCACCTAGACACACACAAACACACGCTACACGGACAAACACACACAGACACACAAAGGGGAGGGAACAAACTGGGTTATTTAGACACAAAACACAAATGATTATTTACATGAAAAGAAAGAACCCAAACTCTGCTTCTAGTCTGATTCAATTCATAGAGAAATATTTAACTTTCCTCTTAAATATATTTCTTTACAAATCAAGATTTTTACACTGAAAAAAACGTTTATGCTTTTAGAAAAAATGTCTTATTGTTAAATTCTAAAAATAGGTTGTGTATCAGGATATTTTAGCTCCTCTTTGACCAAATATAGCAGCAAAAAAATATGCGGTAGCATGGAACTCAAATGCTGAAGTAAAACACAACACAAGTACCTGAAATGTGTACTTACCTCAGTACATTTCATTGCTGCTGATAATATTACATTGTGTTTGTACTGGTATGTATTATGCAGCCCAGTCTTAGAAGGTACTAATCCGCATTTAATCATGATTAATCTGTGAGAGCCACAGGCGGCCACAGTGGCAGCGTTTGTTTATTTATTTGTATTCATTCTTAACGTCAACAGTAACCCACTTCTCTCTGCGTACACATCCAAGAGGTGCTACTTTTGTGACCTGTGAGAGCAAAACATGAACTCACTTATTCCAGTAAAGGACAGTGGCAAACGGGAAGAATCCGCTTTAAAGCCTTTATCATTGCAGCTTATGTCCCTCTTTGCCATCTCTCAAAAGGTGTGTTCCAGTGTTCCAGTGTTTCAGCTATTATTGTTATTATTTTAATGTCACAATTTTTTCTCTCTTTTTAGCGTCTGTTTCTTAACAGTAAAATTGCCTTGTTACTGAGTTTGTGAACGTGGTTTTATCACTTTAACAACTTTACGATGGGAACGAGATTCCTTCGATTGACCCTGAATATCAAAAGCGTGTTCTTGAGAGCTCACAGCACCGTGACAGCGACATGATGGAGTCGAGTGTAAGCGTGATCCATTTTAAACACTAGGCGGCGCCACTGGCTCACGCACTGATTCAGGACCAGCCATCACTGACACACACACACACAGCGTTCATCCACAATAATATTCCCTGATAAAACACGCATCCACTGATGAGCATCAACAGGCGATCCGTCTTTTGTGTGACGATAATCTCATTTAATGTAAGAAGCGAGTTGACAACATGAACAGGGTTCCATGTGATCGGATTTACAGAAGGATTATGGGAGGGATAATGACATCAGGCCGGCTTTAGTTCATTATATGGCAGGTCTGTTCCACGGGGATTGAATGGGCTCCATGTTTGAGTGCACTGCTGGGATGTGAAGTTTCAAACGTGCCAGTAAATACCTCATCACGACCGGAGAGTTGCTTTTGTGCTCGACACAAATCAGATGCTTTAGAGCACTAATTCAATTTATACGCTGTTTATCATTCGACAGTTATTTGTGAAGAAAGTGAACAATAGAACGAGAATAAAATCCCCTAATAAACGTTATTGATTAGATTTACATTTTTGTCACAGAGGCCATTTCAACCAACGTTAGTTCATGCAAAAAAGGTCAAACAAAAAGAACCTGCCGAACTGCTTTCTGGGAAGTGTAGTATTCAACGGTTTTGGAGCTCAACCTTTAGGCGCAAAGAAATATGGATGTTTTGGCAGCTGATTTTTCCACTTTGATCTTCAACTTTACACAAGCACATTTCTAAATTGCCCCTGAATGAAATGTGCATTACGCATTGTGCACATTACATTACATGATGGTTGCAGCTGCAGCTCCGCACATCCCAGAGATCCGCTGTCAATCAAATCCAGGTGGGCGGTACTGTGACATCTCCTTCCGTGCATTTCCTTCTGGTGTTGGTGCATGTAGGTGGCAGTCTCTTCTGTATCATTTGTCTACATTACTGTTACTTAGATTCTTTTTGGGGGGTTTTCACCTGCTGAATGTGTTTCCCGGTCAGAGGAGAGTCACCAGAGTCACGACCGTGTGTGTGAAAGCAAATCAAACAAGACCCATATAGTTGTCACTATATGATGTAAAGTCTAGACATCGGAGAGGCCTGACAGAAAATAAGGGAATACGATAAATCCCTTCAGAAAAGACAGGAAACCGGACGATAAACATCAGAAAAGCTTCTTTATGCGGTGAATCTCACTCCTCTAACCCGCCTCGCATGCCCTTACTAAAACTATTAGCGAGTCCCATTTTGTCTCGAGTCGGCTACAAACCTTTCATATCTTGCAAGGCAATCTCTCCTTTGTGACACGATGGCTGCAAATAAAGCCACAGCGAGAGCCGGAGGTGACATCAACAATCTATCACGGTTGAGCGGGCAGAAAAAAAAACACCCGCTACATCTCGAAAACAGAGCAGGACGGTACTCTTTTCAGAGGCCTTTAGCTTTAAAGCTACAGGGGGGGGGAGATGGAGTCATTACGTACGAGACCCCTCATGAAGCACATCATATTTCAACTCAAATCACATAGATTATTATTGGTTGTGCATTATTTTCTATAATAGTCGATTATTTGAGTTGTAAAAATTCAAAATATGGTGAGGAGTGCCGTCACAAAGACGTTCAGATCACTCCTCTTATTGAAAGGAATCTTCCCATTTAACCGTGAAAATTATGATCAAAATTTCTGATTTACCTGGTCACCTCAGCAGATCTTGTATAGTGTTGTATAGTTTAATTTGAAACTGTGTGGTGATTAATCTGATAAATCTGGTAATTGAGTGCAATAGTTCCCTCTTAAATGTAGTTTAAATATAGTACATGAAAAGAAAAGATTCCTGCTGGTTTTAATTCCCTCCGCAGGTCAAACCGGACTGCTTCTTCAGTCTTCACCGCTGACCCACATATGAAGAAGCTCCCCGGCTGCATGAATGAGGAATGTTCACACATGAGAGGGAACTCCACAAGTGTAGAGTGGAAATCGGGCCTCATAGACCTCGTGTCCCAGAGGCGGTTTCCTTTTATGCCGCCGTTAAGTGAACCGAGCGTCGCGGCTGAACTGAATACACAACAGCCGTGCTGCTCTTCAGTCACGCTGCAGCCGTGAGGACATTAAGCGTCTCAGAAAAAGTGTTGCAGACGCTCGGGAGCCGGAGGACGCTGCCGCCTGCGGGGTCAAAGGTCGGATCTCTATGGGGTTCCACATTAACAAAAATTTCACTTGGTCCAGGAATCCAGACCGTATTTAGCAAAGATCTGGATTTCTTCAATAATCAATACAATACTAAAATGTTACATTACTGTGAGTACATTTATCTTTTTAGCTAATTTTTTTTTACGCTCTGCTGCTGTGATGCTTTTTTCACGCTCTGTAAATAAATGTATTTTGTTTTTTTAAACTTCTGATAACAGCCTGATGTAAAATGTGTGTTATGTGAGTAAATACACATTTAAGATCAATAATGTAATGTTTTACCTTAAAAGTTATAAGCACGCTGTTATCCACAGCAAAGTGTTTCCATATTTAAGTAAAGTTGAGGTAGAAATGTGGGAGAATTTGTTTAGTGCATTTGTCTATTAAATAAACTGCTTGATTGGTTGAGAAAGCGTCATTGAGGTCAGCTATTCAGTATCTGCTCTGATGGATGACTTAATAACTGAATAATAACAGCTACATTTGGAGACGCGTCCCATTGTCCATGAATAAATGATGTCCCGGAGCACAATCACCATGAAGAGCTTTGGAGGCTTGTTTGTGTTTTTCTCTGCGACCTGTAACCTTTCTTTTCACTCAGGGAGACTAAAATGTCAAATGTGCCGCGGCGGCGGAGCCTCAGGCGCTGCTTTAAACACACAGACAACTAAAAGCAGGTTTCTTTTCACCGCCGTGGAAAGGTTAGACTGTTAACGCGGGTGCTATGGGGGGGTGCAGCTGACCATCCATGTCCGACCAAAACCGTTTACACATCGAGAAACACTGGTTTTTACTCTGGCCTCACTGTTTAAATGTATTATTTGTACTTGTACTTGTTTTTCTGCTTTTATTCTGTTGAAAGAGGATTGTTTAATTACAACCAATGTGACAAACAACATATGTCTTCAGTCTATTCTTCATCTTCAAGCAGTTTATGAACAGATAACACATTGTTTATAACACTTGAGATATAGTTATAAGCAGATATGAGGAGATTTTATGTTAATTAGTTTATTTACAACCCGTATGAGAAAAAACTATCTTGAACCGCGCCTATTAATCGTCTATAACAAGTATAGCTTGGTATAGGTGTTATAACACTGTCGTAACATATTTATTTTATGGCAACTTGTCTGTTTGTGACTGAGACTCTGAAGTCATTCAGAATAAAGACACTGACTCACTTTTACACCACTGAGTTATAAAAATGCCTAAATGTCACTTTCAATGGAAATGTGATGATTGACTTAAAACATGTAACTGGATTAGTTGTGATTTTAATCAAATGATCTCTGCATGTCATCTTGTCTGAATTAAATGGAGAGATTTGATGATTGAACTGTATTTGATCCGTGATCAAAGAAGACTCAATAATTTTACCTTTGGAGGAAGAAAAACAACAGCAGTTCTATATTTGTTTTAATATTCATGTTACACACACAGTCACAAATCACTCGTTGATGCGTGACAGTTGATATTTACATTGGTTAATAAAGGTGTTCTACTTGACAGTGCATCAATACTGCAGGCAAGAACAGATATTCAAAATACATAGTTTACAACGTGTTACATAAAACAAAACCCGATTTATTTTACACCTAATCAAGCTCACGACAGCAAACAGCCGTTGAACGAGGGTCTGCACGGTGGGTCAACACACTAAACCAGCTGAGAACAAGTTGAACTCTTCTGCTCAAGAATAGACACATAAATAAAAGAATAATTTTACATCTGATTCACAACATCTTCTCCTCTCTTTCCCACGGAACCGGATCCTGCTCCTCCTCGACGTGCGTATTCCTGCGCCCTGTCCAAAAGTGCTCCACATCTGGGATGGTCTTCTCCGTCTCCTGCGACACCGCGTTGCCGACGGCGTTTTCTTCCACTTCCACTTCCGCTCCGTTCCCCTCCGTCTTGGGACACTGGGTGCCGCGGAGGCGCTTCGTGCCTCTGCAGGTGGCCATGAACCAGATGGTGATCAGACCTTGGCGCACCTCGTCGTACATGGTCATCAAGATCACCGGAGAGAGGGCGCTGCATGCGTAGAGGAGAACTTGCGCAAAGATGACCAAGCCCACGGGCGGTTTGTTGTACCCAAGCCTTATCCAGGTGAATGCCCCCCACTCCGGCAGCAGCATGAGCCCGAGGGCGCTGCTTAGACACAGTAAAACCAGGGTAATTTTGCTCTGGTGCCGCGGGGTGGGTGCGTTGTTCACCGCGGTGTGCAGCACTTTGGTGTGGTAGGCAACGGTGAAGATGACCGGCGCCACGAAGGCTGCAGTGGGATAAATCTTGTAGAACAAACTCATGAAGTTGGACGCGCAGAGCGGCATTTCAGAGACGCAAATAGTGTCGCGGCCATGCTTCACCAGAGTGGCGAAGAGCAGCTGGGGGATCGGAAACATCATCGACACCATCCAAACGAACGCCAGGGCTCCGTGGATCCACGTCGGGCTGTAGAGGGGCCCCGTGGCGGTGCTTGGCACAAGCGTGTGTTTGGCTCTGGTGGTGACTGCAAGGATTAAAGTTTTTGCAATCACACACGAGTGCTGGAACCAGTCCGTGGTGCTGCAGACAAAGCTGCCCAGGGTCCAGGTCTGCTTGTAGTAGGTGAAGGCGCGCACCGGAGCGCACAGCAGCAGGATCGCCAAGTCCGTGGAGGCCAACGAGGCGAGGAGCGCTTTCACCTCGGAGCCCTTTCCGTTCCTAAAGTCACGGATGAAAACCATCAAAATGAGCAAATTCCCAACAGCCCCGGACACGCAGATCCCGATGAGGACGACCGGTATGGCTGTCCTGGTGTCCTCCCCCTGGAGAAGTTGCACTCCTCCGACGAAATCAAAAAAGGAGACATTTGCTGGTCGATTAAAATCCATTCTCCTCCCGAGATAATCTAAAGTTCGAGCTCCTCGAAGTTGGGGAGGGGGAAAAGAAAAATCTCGCACTCAACAAATGAAATGAAATGTTTGTGTTGAACTTTTCTCCGCAGATTGCAGGTCGGCGGGCGGGGGAGGAGCTGTCCGCGGCGCCGCGGTGCTGAAACGCTGCTGACAGGGTCGTGATCGTATCAGCGAGTGGGTGAGCGGGCGGGCAGGTAGGCTATTTCAAGTGCTGCCATTTAGCATCGTCAACCACTCACGTCATTTTTTTTTTCATCAGTGAGGCTGCGGGCTGTAGGCAACACAAATGTGAGCGCAGCGTGATGTGGTTCACGTTCACAAGCCTCGGAGGGATCACGGCTGGTGTGGCGTGTCAGATATGTATCTCAAAGAAACATAATTATCCGAGGTTATCTATTTGGATTCGACGGTAAGAGGTTAAAACATGTTTCTGTTTATTTGGCATCATGCTAAAAATGAAAAACCGCAGATATCAAATCTTCAAAACTTGCAAATACTGAAGTCCACGTGTGAAACTACACGTGGTATTGATTAGGCTGCATTGGCACGTTGTGGAAAATCCAACATGACACCTTGTTTGTTCATTTGAGACCTCTGCAGGGAACCGTCTGGAGATTCACTGCAGGCTTGATGTCTTATTATTATTAATGGGATGCATTTTCACCTCCAATAAACAGATTGTAAAACTCTAAACTCTAAATCTGCTCATATAAATACCGGCTATGTCTTATGTGTTGTTGCACATAAAACTGGGGAAGCAGCTTGCTGTGACCTATAATGAATGTGACTGATAGAAGAAAAACTGATTTTTTTACGACGACATTTACAAACAAGCTGCATGAGTAAGAATCCACGAATGAGCTGTAGGTTGTAATGTTTTAAATGCATTCACACCTCACTCATTTATTTGAAGTTTAAAAACGAAATGGCAATCCATGCTCATTATCAGTCCCACACGGTGCACCAAGCAGTGAGGTGTGTTTACTTGACATGAAGAGCATCCGGATAATGAAGGGGCGGAAGGGTGAGGGTGGGGTGGTGTTGGGGGGAGAGGAGGGCGAGGGGGTTGTATGTGGAGAGGTGAGGGTGCCCACTCAAATGCTGTCACCTCCACTTAGAGAGTTGGTTGCTAGGAGACCGGAGCCACCATCACAGTATGGGGTTAGGAAGATGTGAGGCATCGTGAAGTAGTGCGAGATATGGACGGATAGAGAGGCTTTAAAGCGACTCTGGAGCTTTAGATGTAATGAATGAATAATGACAACGGTGTGATAGCAGAGGGTCAAAACTCTTTGGTGATATTTAAAGGAATGACAAGCAGCGATGCTGCCCTTGTGAGAGCAATCTGGGATAATTTATGTTTTATGGACTTTGAACGGCTTTACGGCTAAGAATTACCAGTAGTTTTCTGCTCCTGCTGACCTTGCTTCTATAAAAAAAACGCAAACATAACACTCAAATCAGCATTTCTTTACGCAATGATCCTCTGGTAAAATTCCTGTTTCCCACATCTGCTACATATTTCCAGATTGATGATCAGCAATATGTATAAATATTAGAGTTCGAGCCTCAGTGATCAAGATGAAGAAAACCAAAAAATGAAAATAAGTAGTACCATAATGTTTGATAACATCAATAACCACAAAACAAATAGAAATCATATAAAATCATATTTAAAGACGGGATTATCCCAAATTAAAAGATAGATGAAAACTACACACAGATTCTGAGTTAGATATTGTGAAACATGCATGAAGCAGATTAATTTACAGTCATGTATCCTCTTTATAAGACAGATATCCAGCAATTTGACAACTTGCAATGCTGCACAGATTTAGCATGTGTAAAGTAAATACAAAGGGGGCCGAGTACGCTTCCTTGAGGAACTCCATAATTAAAATCAATTGTAATACAAGATATTTTTTCCCAAGTCTGTTCGTTAAAACGCAGTGATAAATTCTGTCTCAGGCAAGGCTCAAATCTCAAAGAAAGAGGCACACCCACAACTGGATTGCATTGGAGACATCCATTGTGCAGAGGGGATGACTCCTGATGGCCATCACCTGACTTTGCAACGAGTGCCATTATGTCGACATTTCTCAACAGCTGTTGGATTGATCACTTGGAAATTTGGTGGGTAAATTCAAGTCCCCTTCAGGATAATCTGTAGCCGCTATTGTGATCCCTTGACTTTTCATGCAGCGCCATTGTCAGGTGAAAACCGTATTTGTATAGTTTTCCATATTGTTTTTGTGAATGAATGAAACAAATCCCAATCTATTCAAAAAACTCTATACATCCATTTGACGAGAATTGAATTACATAAATAATAACGTGCCCTTATGCTGTTGGGCCATCCTTACAAATCATGACAGCTGGGCTCTAACTTTCCACCGGATGTCATTTTAGTTTTTAAATTGCTGCAATCTCGTCTTGGAACAGAATTCAGTGTCTCACCGTGGTCTTGAGGATGAAAGAGACGGCGTGTTTGCACCGACGTGTAGTGTGTGCTATACTTAGATATTTTTCCAACTGAGATAGAAGAGCAAATGGCCATGAGTTTTTTGTTTTGTCATCTCTACCCCCACCACTCCGCCCGAGACTGAATCAGTATTGTGTGAGAGTAGGATCCCTCACATTCCCACGAGGCTTTCACAAGGCCAGAGTGGGACAAAATAAGAGTAAAAATACGAATGACAGCGAGGAGGGGGTCGACAAGAACAAAAACCCAGAGCTGTATACGTGAGAGTCTAGATGCACTTCAGTAATGTTCCCTTTGGAGATATTCCATAGTAGAAATAAGCACAAAGTATGTTTTCTACCACAGGGATGTCCACTCTGAAAAGCAGACCTTGACGTAATACGTTTCCGTCCCGAATCCCTTGATGCGAAAAAGCTTTTACAGTATGAAAGAAAACAAACGCCGGTTTTTCTTTTGGTCATTAACGTCATTCAGAGAGATCAAAGGTAAAGGGCGTCTCCCCGGGTAACCGCGCCTTGTTATTGATGCTGTTGCTCAGAAGTGGAGAAGCTATCAGCCATCTGTCGTCGATGTTTTACATGAAATCTGGCTGCTTTCAAGTTCCCCACCGCCTTCAAACGGAGCTCGAGATGGAGAGTGACGGCCGCAGACATCAAGTCGCTCCCATCGGTGGCAAAGACTGACAGTTACCACGACAACCCATGGGTGGAAGCCACTTGACTTGCAAAGCCGCCCGCGTCTTCATTCGGACGGCATTAATTATTTCCATCCTCTCCAACAGTTTTAATTTCCCTGCTCACGTGAATAAATCTGTGTTGGATTCGTGATGAGCTGCAAGACAAATTATCGTTATCATTTGAGGGTTTGTTTCAGGCATCATGCAAAGAGATAAATGACTCCCTTTAGCAAAAGGGCAGACTCCCGCCTGCAAAATAGCAAATAATTAATGTCTGGCTTTTTTTTGTAGTGCTTGTGGGAGGGGGAGCAGATGGAGGCTTTACTTACTTACTAACTACTTACAAGGTCAGTGGAAACATGGTATTAACGTGTACTGTAAATATTATATATTTAGTATATACTCCCATCGCCTGCTTTTTAATGATGCATGTCTCTTATTTTATGCAGATTAATGTTCCCTCTATGCTGCAACCCGCTGAGGCTTCCTGCTGTCTGCTATCATGACCTATCATTGCACGGACTCTGAGAGCTTATTAAGGGTCACATTTATGGTGTTAAAATGCAAAGTAACAAAACAAACAGGAAACTAAGCACTCGACTACAGCTGTCGTACTCCTAGGGTTTAAATGCACGCTTTGTTTAACTATTTCCACCTGAGAGGGAAATATTGTACTTCACTTTTGAAATATTTTTTTTGATAAAATTGAAAATAATACATTTTTAGTTATATGACACATATTCCTTCTTTAATCAGCCTAAAGTATATCAACATGATCTCCCTCACAACCAGCTGCAACATTAAATGATTAAAGATTAAAATGATGTCTTTGTCACATGTTCAAACAATGTGCGTGTGAGTAGTGGAACCAAATGCAGGGAAGCACAATGACCCCAACCCTAAAAAATATTAGAGTGGAATGTCATCCATCCACCTTCAAAGCCGCTTATCCACCATGCAGGGTCGCAGGGGGCTGCAGTCAATCCCTGCTAACATTGGACGAGAATTAAAAGTGGAATGAATAAAGACAATTCTAAAAATAAATGTATACCATCACATTTGAGGCTTAAGTAATAACAATAACAGCCTGTGTCATTTTAACTGGTCACACACACAAAGTATCCCATGATGCTTCACTCACGTCTTTGGGCTGCATAGCGTCACGTGATGCACATCGAGATTCACATCGAGATTCACACAGTCGGGCCACTTTGTCAAAGGAGCTTCTGCTCCTCCTGAGGTCTTGACTCAAACATTCACACTTGCATCGACACCACTTAGTTGGGTGGAGTGAGGTCACCGTGGAGTGGAGAAAGGTCACCGTGAATTGGTTTTGATTAAGACACACAAACGCAAACACCTCCATCCACCTCCACCCGCCCGCTGTGCGTCTTCATCATCTCCCTCTCAATGCTTTTTCTCTGAGGCTCTAACAATGATGTGGTTGAGTCTATTTTTGAGTCAAAATACAATTTCCAAAATAAAAGCTCATCACATAACGGTCTTAGGGTGTTTAAAAAAACTCTTATTTTATTGTGAAGGGGCTTAAGGTTGTGAATCCTTTTCCGTCAGAGTACTGTGAGGTTTTCTTGGCTTCATGTCAAAGAGACAAAGTGTGACCTGCAGAACGTGAGAGAAGAGAGCCCCCATGTGACAGAGGTGGGAAACACACAATATATGTGATTTACACCACAACCTCAGCTTCCTCACTTTGATTTTAATGTTGCTTATTCTGGAGCAATACAAACCTGCAGCAAAAAACACCATCAGAAATGGTTTATTACTTTGAAATTGATTTGGTGAATGTTGCGTGATAATGAACGTATCATACGACGGAATACAAACATAACGCAAATTAAAAAAAACAATATAAATAAGTCTACATTAAAATGTCTGTTACTAGAAGTGTCTATTTAAATTTGTGCAGCGATGTGTAAATGTACGTGATTGTTCTGGGCATAATACACAAATAAATTCCCATACGAGTAGACGGACTTCCATCTCCTGAATTCAGTTGGACACATTGTTAATGTGCATGAACGTGCATTGACTTTCCTCATGAAAATAGCAGTGTTGTGATCTCAGCAGTAGGAGGCAGCAGATGACTGTGAGTTTAAATAACAACAAAGCTTTCAGCACCTCAGACGCCAGATGGAAAAAATAAACATATGTTGTATGCAAGTCTGTTGGATAAAAGAGTCTCAATTTATAGACCAGTTTTACAGTTACTTGATTAATTTGATGGAAGCCAATATGTTCTGCAGTTTACACCAATGTTTTCCTATCTCAATTATTCAAATGAAAAGCATTCAAAGAAGACCGGCTCCAAACAGATCGAACAGGTGAAGTATTTCAGGCTTTAACCAGCTTGGAATTATTTATTCACATTAATTATACTTAACTTGCATCTGAACGTTTAATGAAACAAATATTTTACTCATGAGAAATTGAAATGGTTGTTTAATTTGGAAGTTGTCAAGTTTGCCAAATAGCTCTGAAAAGCCTGGAAAAAAAGGCAGGATAGATTATTTACGAATTTAAGAATTCTGATTATTTCCAGAGCTGCATAAATTGTGTTTCTGTCCGTAGCTTGTGAGTTTTGTTGTACTCAACATTGCCATAAGATCAGACTGTAAAAGTCAAACATGTTGATCATATCAGGGGTGTTAACAGGTCCTACTTTTCTCTTCTTTTCCATGTTTTGCCCTTTTCATAATAAGGCAAGGAATAATTACAGAAGATTTAGTTTTAAAGCGAATACTACAAGCTACAAGAAAGACGAACATACAATTTTTTTTTATTTCTGTGTGGTCAAATAAATTAAAATAAAAAAAAATGTTCTGATCAAAACGTGGATTAATATGCAGCGGAAAATAGTAAATGCTTGTTTTCTTCTGGTTTAAGTGAGCACTCAGTTGTTTTAGGAAATGACTGTTTTAAATATAAAACTATATGTCTGTGACTTTTTTAAAGACTTGCCCCTGTAGCAATGAGTCTAGACTATGGAGCGATGAATAAACACTTGGTAATCACGCAGATTGATCCTCTGTGTGTAATATCAATCACTTGTTTGTGCATTGAGTGAAAAATAACAACCGAATTACGCTTCGTTTTGGCACCAAATGACTTCCTGAAGCCCCTCAGAGACCTAAATGACGTTCAATCAGCTCCCCGTGTAGCAGATTGATAATTAGTTCAAATGTGGCTGTCGTGACGTTTTTATGAAATAGCTCGAAAGAGAAGAAAAGCCTGCAGCAGCAGTGTGTGTGTCAGAAGGAATACATTACAGCAACACACACACACACAGACACACACAGACTGTCAAAGGGATTCAGGCCAAAGTTACAATGCACACAATAAGAAAGCAAATGTGCTTTGTTTATGGACCTGTGCTGGTTTTCATTTAATCTAGATGACGGATGTATGTTCCCACCTTTATGCACGCGGGGCCCCGCTAATCTTGTTCTCCATCGGCCCCTGTGCATAATGAAAAGGGGCTTATCGGGACGCTGGCCCCGGGGTGACGTCGACTTTCTCCATTTCCACCCGACAATAAGGCGAACGCCACTTAAACCACGTGACCGGCGGAAATCTCCCAGGACCCGTAAGTTCCCATCGCCGGCTGGAATGGGAACAATAATAAAATGAAGAGTGCAATTGGAAGGCGATTAAAATGAATAGAAGCTCTGACTAGATAAGACACATACCATTTCCTCATCTATTTAACATTCATTGAATTGAATAATCCGGTTCTATTATCGTAAATAGTCTGCATATTTACCCTGAATATGCTAATTTATGTTTGCTGGAAGCCCTCTGCGACTTAGTCATTTTCCCATCAGTGTATGCATATCTGCTTCCTCCTATAGCTATTTCTAAAGAGGAGTGGAGAGAGAGAGGGGGGGAGAGAGGGGAGGAGAGAGGGAGAGACCAGAAGAAAAAGGTGGGCACAGCTTATTGTTTCTGTAACTTTTTTATTCATCCTTTTTTTTTTTTTTTTTGCTCTTTGCCCCGGGCCAACCGAGTTACATTTCAATCAAAAGATTCATTGTAAAGTCATTATCCCAAACTAGGCTCCCATAATTGGCTGTCACTTTGCATAGTGGTAGCACTCTGGCTTCAGGGCAAATGACTGCGGTCTTATCTTTCGCTTTTAAGGAAAAATAATGGACAATTTATCATTAATCTTTGCTGGGAAATAATAACAAGTTAAATGTCATTTCCCTGTGTCGCGCATTAGAAAAAAAATAAGAATAAAACGGTGTTGCTGGGGGCTCTGGGCTGATCACGGACTGACCTCTCCTCTTCAGCGCCCAGGTAGAGGAGAGACTTAACACAACAGGGTGAAGGCCGGAATGCAACGCGCGTAAATACACCTGTAATGTGAGTTATAACAACATGACTTTAAATTGTTCTGCTCCTGAAGCTCTCACTGTGTGTTATGAGCTCAACTGACGTTTTCTCCCTGGAGTTCTTCACAGAATTGAAAATAAATGACGGAGGCTTTTAACTTGCTAAAAACCCACTTTTATTTTATTGTCACGCATTAGTTGGTCTGAATCGGTAGAATCAACTTAAAATGACACCTGCATCACTGCCCAATAACAATAAATAAAGTGCATGAGAACGTTGCCCCTTTGAGCGATGCTAACCGATGGTTTCTTTAATCCGCGTCGGTGCATTTGTTGCCCTTGTCATTGGTATCAAAAATACTTCAGATGAAAACGAATCGTTTTTAAAGAAAGGCTTTCTGGTGGCCCGTTCTGAGGGCCTCATCAGTAAACAACACAAGATAAACGGCACTGAAAAGGTCGCCATCAGCAGAGGACGACACTCATTCCCATTCCTTTGTGGGATTAGGCCGCTGCGCATCGACTCGTTTGGCATTCAGAGGCCGCTGTGGCCCGAAGAGAGCCTGTTTGAACAGGGATCAATTATCAATCAGTCTGCAGGCCAGATTACCAGAGATGTACGAGCCGTGTTGACCAACAACCCCGGGGATCCCGTCAATGAATGCACACGGACAAACGCCTTTGGCTTTGACACTGGCCACTGCTGACATTCAGATTAGAGCTGTTTATGTCTGCTCAATCGTTTGTGTCGTCACTTCAGCTGCATTAAGCTCCTCAAACACGGACAATTGTGTCGCTGTAAGCTTCCAGGTTGCGTTCAACTTGTCAATAAATCACTCTTTTTTTTTTGAAAATATGTTTCCACGTGCGTCCACTTTGTTCATTTTCTAATAACGTGGTAATTGCGTTAGAAAAAGATGAATTAATAGAGAGGAAAAAAATAGTGTTTTCTTGAATGAGGCACGAATACACACATAATGAGCTGCAACACAAAGACAATGAACACACACAGTGCGACTCATCTGGAGTCAATTAACACTATGAGGTTATAAAACAATATCATTCAACAAGCCTGAATGACTCAACTCTAGAAGGATTCTTTGTGGCAGCTGTTATTAACTGTTATTAATCTAAAAATCTCTACTTTTGTACTTAGTTTCAATTACTTTAATCACATTCAATATGAAGACATAAAATGAATCAGAGGCGACGTAGCAGCTGATGTCAGGGACCTTTTGTGTGATTCATATGAAATGTTCTTGCTTGTGGTTGAGAACAGAGCGATAAAGTATAGTGGAGAAATTCATTATTTATAGTTTAACAAGACTGCTGATTGCCCAGCAACGTGTTTTCATAAGGGCTGCAGACAGAAATGCCCAAGAAGTGATTAATGTTGCAGGATCTATTTCATATTTCATTCATTTAACCACAAAATGCATCAACTCCCAAGACAATAAAACACGATAATAAAAGGAGAAAGTGTAAAAATCAGTTTTGTCTCAACTTGAGTGAGCGTGGCTCAAAAACAAAATGTTCCTTCTATATATTCATGAATTGCATATCGACATCGGCTGCAGCCACCAGGTCATCAATCTGCAAACACACTAAGGAACTCTACGCTTTTGTCGTGAAAAAGTGCAACAGATGAGGATTAATCCGACCAAATGCTGCTGTGTGCCGACGCGAATGTTTTAAATCTGGGCCTCCGCTTCTGCAGAGACAATGACGCGTGAGGGGAGAACGTCACGGCGCACACAGAGGACGGCCTCGACATCAGTGTCGGTTTGGAGGGCAGGTTGAAGGTCACGGGGAGCAAACAGTCCCCGGTAATCCTGACCTTCCCTTTCTGCTGCAGCCGCGAGTTGACCGTGACGGTTAAGAACCGCAGGGACTCCCCGGGCACGTCTGGACCCCCCTTCACGCCCCCGACCCCACCCTCCTCCTCCTCAAGTCGAGAGGACGGAGACAGAGGCATCGTGGGAAGTGAGAGGGGACATTTACACGTATGTTTATCAAAAGGAAACATACTCGTTCCCAGCTTCTTCTTTTTTTCATACTGTCTGTCCTTCAGCGGTTCCTCGTTGCTAGGCAACAGCTTCCTGTCAGCTAACGTCCTTCACACACACCGCAGCGGGAAATAAGAGTAGGAGAATGTTCCATGTGCAGCGAGTCCTCAAATGACGGTGTGCGAGATGTTTTCCAGTCCTGTAAGTGTAGATACAACCGGATCACGATGACGTCACAGAGCAGACGTCCCAGCGGCTGGTTCGAGGACAGAGTTGAGAGTTTTGATATAATCTCACCGTATTAATGAAACACATAAGGAAGTAAAAGGAGCAAAAATCTGCCTTTTAGAATATGGGTCCTGTAAATGGTTGCCGACGTGGTGAATGCTGGTTGCTTCCTGCACCGCGTCCCTCCCTCCACACGCTCAGTCCTGGGGAGGCTCACGCTGCTCTTCTGCCCTCGTGACCTGCAGGGGGTCAACGAGAGCAGCTCTGCAAACCCTGACTTCATTAAAGCACCGGGGGAAGGTCCTGGTGGGAATTAACCCCTACCCAGGCAACCCCAAACAGTAAATTACAGGGGGGCTTACATGATTCCTGCGTCCCCCCCCCACCCGAACCCCCTCGGGA